GAAAGATGAAAGTGAGGTTTAGAGGGTTTTCTGGGCTCCTGTACTCATTCAAATGGTAATTTGTGCTAGCTGCACTGTAAAAAAAATTACAGATTATATCTACTTAATAAAATTGAAGCAACATTTTACAAGTGATAAAATTCAACAAATATAGATTGAGTTCAAATTAAATAAATTAGTTTATTTAAAATCAGCAGGGCCAGCCTGTGGCATAGGCAGTATAGGCAAATGCAAAGGGCGCTGTACATCCAGGGGGCGCCAGAAATGAGCAGGGTTAAGTTGGTTTTGTTTACAATATTCCTGACAGATACAGTGATAGATGGCAATAACTCAAAAACCTCTTACCCTAAAAAGATCTAAAGTGTGTTTCCTACAAAAAGACAAAGCTGGTTATGTTTAACAGCTGTCTTTAGCCTGGGATATGCGTTTAGCCGGGAGAGCTGAGCTCGCGCGGAGTGGAGCTCTCCGCAAGGGACCGTCAGAAAAGTGCTTATTTTTTTCTTTTTTTTTTTTTTTTTGCTCTATCCTGCGTGTTTTATTTTTAACACAACTAATTTTTTCTTCAAATGAGCACAACAGTTACTAAAGTAGTCGAATGCTTCATTCATTCATTTATTATAGATCTGTGCATTCTTACATGAACACCTCTGTTAAATAACTATAGTAACTTTAATCAATATGCAAATACAATTGAAAGTTAAATAGATTTTATAGCTTTATTTAATTTCTGTATAGGCCATTGATTTTAATAAGTTAAACCTTTTATTTTATTGTCAATATTTTCTATTGTTTGCTATGTATTCTATCTTTTGAAGCTATTTGTTGTCCCATATTTTAACATCCCAACGTTGATAGATATGACATAACATTGCTAATCATTAAATAGCTATAGTGCTATCTGTTAGTATTAACTTCAGCTAATGTTATGGAAGGGCATAGATGTTTTGGAAAATAGTAATATTAATGTAACTACCCCATCATTCCTTCCTCAAGCAAATGTGTAAATGTTAGATCTATTCAGCAATAATGTTAATTGCATTGGCATATTTATCTGACGGGGCGCCACCTGAAATCTTGCCTAGGGCGCCAAATTGGTTAGGGCCGGGCCTGAAAATCAGTCATTTAGAATGAGTAACAATACTTAAAGATGCCATATACCGCATTGGATTTAATAAGTTCAATTGTTCTCTGATATCTACATAGTAGGTTTATGGCTTCAGTAAGTAAAAAAAAAAATATCCAGAAATTGTTTAATAAGCTAACTTATTACTTCATAAAATGCTCCTAGAATCAAAAGGTCCATGATTGACCATATATGGTTCTGAAGCAATTTTTAACATGACTTGTGCTATCGTTGCCCAGTAACGGATAGTAAAGAATTTTGGGCTCGCGTTTTAAAAATAAAAGTCCCACATACATAGTGAGCGAAATATGTTTAAAATAACTAAGGGAGGAAAATTATCACTGTTGTGTCACTAGAAAACGTTTGGCTTATCAAATGCAGCCTGAGGCATGCATATTAATGATTTCAGAGCTTTTTTTAATGCTCTCAGAACTGCATATGAGTTGGTGCGCTCTTGAGGCCGCGGCTGCTCGTCAGGTCCGGATGAATGACGTAAAGTTGGCATACATGCGAGTAAGGAGGGCATGTTCTGTGAGTTCCGTCACAGTTTGTTTGGTCTTCTGATTGGCCAGTTGTCCATCAGGGTTTTACACTTGTAGAATTTACATGAGAATGAGTAAACAGCGATGTCTGAGTCTCACAGTATGTCTATTTTCAAATACTGATCTTATATTATTCTACTATACCTTGGCATGCCCAGATTTTCATTATAGGGCACCTTAAAAAAACTGATTAATTAAAATACTAAAAAAATATTAAAATAATTACATTTTAAATGAAAAAATTGGGTTTATTGGACAGAAATAACCAACATTGTTAACAAAAACCCATTTATCATGTTGATTTAACACATTTGCATCATTTTTACATGGAGTAATTTGTGTTAAATCAACATAAAACGTGTTTTCATTAACATTGGGTTTTTTGGACAAAAATAAAACACAACATTAGTGAAAACATTTTTATTTTTTATTTTGATTCAACATATTTGTAGTCTGTTCAGCAGCTGTGAAAAAAAAGCACGTTATGTCTACTCAATTAAATCGAGAGAACAGTTCACAAGCAGTATTATTTATTGTATACAAACATGCACTTAGTTGAAATGAATTAAATTCACTTATTTAATAACCAGTCATTCAAATATGTGTAACTGCAAACAGCACTTAAGAAATACACACATTGTAAACAAAAATATTGGCTTTATTGGACAAGAAATAACCACAATGTTAATGAAAACACCTTTATTTGTCTGCTCAGCAGCTGTAAAAAAATAACCCATATGTACTCAATAAAAAAAAGTGAACAAACTACAAGCAGCATTATTATTCAATTCAACAAGTACAGACTGAGTCAGTATTAATTGAATCAGCTTAAATTTGCAGAGCCTGTTCAGCAGCATGGTACGGAGCCACAAAAAAGATTAATAACAATCTCATAATAGACAATATGTTGTTATATGACAACATCCTATAATATACAATCAACAGTCTACTTTCAAACAAGTGGACTTTAATCATCTTTTTTAAGCATCATAGTTTCAAATAACTGGACATTGTTAAACAGTGTGAATTCAAACATCTGGGAAAAACTTAAATCATAAACTTAAAAAGAGAAATTTGACAGATTTGAAGCATCTAGATCCTATAGGCTTTTTACATTTATTTCCTTTTTTAATACATCAATGGTATTATTCACCAGAATAATGCAGATTTATTGAACCAAAGATGAACAGTTTCTGGCAATACTGCCATGGATCTCAAACCCAAATATACACCTTTTTTCCGACTAAAGAAGTGCATCATTTAATTAATAAAACAATCAACATTTTCCAATGTAAAGTGCAAAGATTGTTTAGTGTACACTGATAAGTGTTCTGTGTTTTTCTTGCCCGTGGCATTGCATTAGTTATGTATCATGATTATGGAGACAGGAGATGCAGAAGATGAGAGAAAATATATGTTCAAACAACTGTGATTCAGCCCTTAAATAAGCTCTTGAGATATAATGAAGTTTGAAGGTCTGAAGGCAAGCTGATTAAATAATTTTTTAATTACTCTATATTATTAAGCACTGTGCGGTAAGAATCCCGAAGGTTTCAAGCTTGATGAGATACAAATGTGGCAAGGAGTGTATATATCAGTGTATATAAATGTATATATATATATATATATTTATATAACACACACTGATATATATATATATATATATATATATATGTATATATATGTATACTGTATGTGTATGTGTGTAATATATATATATATTAGGGGTGTAACAGTTCACAAAAATCACGGTTCGGTTCGATATGATACAGTGGTGTCACGGTTCGATACGTTTTCGATACAGCATAAAAAGAAAAAGCCAGAGGATTTCTCTGGTTTTAATTTTTAATGTATTAAAATTAACATTATAAACGTATGATCCTGTTTTTTTTTTTTTTTCTTTTACTTTAAACAGTGATAGAGCTCTACTTCTGGGGTTTCTGCTTATCAGCAAATAAAACAAATTTTTCTTTATACTCAAAACCAAAAAGCTTCCCATAAAAAAAATACATGTAATTATGTAGTAGTTAAACAAATAAAAATAAAACTACAATTTAGTTCTTAAATGGAATTTCAATCTATTTTTAAATATTTTCAGAAAGATAAGTGTGCACCTTCTATATATATATATATATATATATATATATATACACATACACATACATACATATATATATATATGTTTGCCATTTTACTTCTGCTATATGTACATTAGTAGCTTACGCTATACCATCCATTAATGTGGCAGAATGTTGTGTTGTCACAATGAAAATGAAAATTAAATAATTTCATTGTATTTTCAATTTTGGCAGACACTTAGCGAACAGTGTTTTATAATGAAGTTGTTAATCTGGTTTTTATTTTAATTTCCATAGTTTATTTGATTTATTTAAAATTGGCAGGATTTACCTTCCAGTATCTCTTGTTCAATCCACTTAGTAACATTTATTCATTCATTCATTTTCCTTTTGGCTTAGTCCCTTTATTAATGCAGGGTCGCCGCAGCGGAATAAATCGCCAACTAATCCAGCATGTTTTTACGCCGCGGATGCCCTTCCAGCTGCAACCTATCACTGGGAAACATCCACACTCTCATTCACACTCATACACTACAAACAATTTAGCCTACCCAATTCACCTGTACGGCATGTCTTTGGACTGTGGGGGAAACCCGGAGGGAACCCACGCGAAAGCAGGGAGAACACGCAAACTCCACACCGAAATGCCAACTGACCCAGTCGAGGCTCGAACCAGCGACCTTCTTGCTGTGAGGCGACAGCACTACCTACTGCGCTACTGCGTCACCACTTCGTAACAATAATAAGAAAAAATAGTTCAAAGTTTGAACAGACACTAAATTCTAAAATATATAAATGCAACAAATAAAAGTTAAAATTATGAAAAATTCGGGAAAAGTTCTTTATACTAAAGATCATACTGTATATGTAAACATGCCTAGCTTTTTGGAAAATTAAGGAGATTTAGAACATATTATGTTAATGTAAATAATATGTTTTATATATAATATTGCGCCTGAATTGTGTTTTTGGCTGTAAGAATGCATCTACATGTGTTTCATGTCGCTGGTAAGAGTTTTCACAAGATAATTAATTAATATTTTTACTAATTATTCGTTTATTTCATATAGTTATTCAAAAAATAATGTTAGTTTTGTTTAGTTTTTATTTTTATTAAGATTTTTCATTGTTTATCAGTTATAGAAAATGTTTATTTTGACCAATAGTTTTAGTATTAGTTTTAGCTACTATTTTTAGTTTACCAAACATAAGACATTATTAGTCCAAATAATAATTTTACCCATTATTCCTTTTCAGCACCACCTATATCAGAAGCATCCACATCGCCAAAGGTACTCAAACCAACAACCACTACCACAACCACTACTCAGCCCAAAGGCCAAGTGACTACTATCACCACTACAGGGACCAGAGCTGTTAATAAGACCCCCAAATCACCACCTGTACTTCCCCAAACCACCACGCCACCCTCACTGGAGTCGTTTCCTCCACCTGAGCGCTTCTGCGAGAGCGTAGAGCTCAGGGACATACTGTGGCCGCAGACGCAGAGGGGCATGCTGGTGGAACGACCCTGCCCCAAAGGAACCCGAGGTAGGTGCACATACCTGTTCAAGCGTAACCTGCTGCAGTTTTCCACTCAAGGCTTTTTGAATCGCTATCAGTCACACACAAGTTATTTTGATAAGCATTTAGCCTCTAGGCAGGAAGAAATGTGTATATTCTCCTAGGATTCACCATTTGAATAAAACCATAAAGCCATGTAAGACTACTGTATGAACTACAGGGATTGCAACCACATTGCAGCATCTTGTTGGTGATGTTCATTACTAATAATATGTAGTTGTTCATAATAATTAAAGTCTGTGTGAAAGAACAATGTGTTTAATTTTTTTTGCTAGTGCATACTGTTATTCTTTAGATGAACAATTAATCTGTGTAAGTTAATCCACTGAAAAAAAAAAAGGTTGTTTGAGTAATCTTCAATTAAAGTCAGACCATCTGATTCCAATTTTGGAACGGCAGTGCTTCATCCAGAATATACTTAACCACGCCACTCTAACCGAGAATGATGCACAAAAGGAAAGCCCCGATCCCTACTCAATATTCTGTTTCAGTTGAAAGTACATCAGCATAGTGAAATGAAAGTCTCAAAACTTTATTTATCATTTATTATTAAGTAGCCATAGAATAATTAAAAATGTGTACAAGCAATCTGGCTGCTTTAAAGGGCACCTATGATGAAAATCATCTGTTGGAAGCTGTTTGGACAGAACTGTGTGTAGGAATAGTGTGTCCACTGTGATATTGGAGTGATATAAAGATAATAAGTCTCTTTTTTAATTTCCTGATGTTAAAATAGATTAGTAGTTACGCATGTAATCATATCAACAAGACGGGCGCAAAGCAACTAAGCATGGGACGATAACCAGTTTCGAGGTTTAACTCGTTTTGGAAATGTCAAGGTTTTAACAGCGTAAAAATGTTCTGGTATTCCATTCCCAAGCTATATGTAAGGTTTTTTTTTTATGTATTTTTAGGTGTTGTAAAGAAATCTGTGTTTTTGAAACTTTTTTTGAATGAAAACAGCAGAAGTCAATGATTTTTTAAATTATTCAGCCTGATTACTGTTCCAAAACATTGTAAATGTTTCTGAAAATAAAATAAAATTGTTAAATAGGGAATTTTTATTTATTTATTTATTTACTTACTTATTTACCCAGTAATTTAAAAATAACTTATTTTAGAGCAATAATCACAAGACCGTGAAACCGTGGTATTTTCATCTAAGGTTATCATCATGTCAAAAACTTATACTGGCCCATGCCTAAAAGAAACTAGGATTTAAAGATCTGTTCAGCTCTCTGTGATCATCAGTCATCATCAAATGTGATCAAAAAGGATTTTTACAAGTTTAAAACATTCTTAAAGCAGTGCAAGTTTGTAATAAAGACAGTAAAAGCACTGTAATTCATCACCACAGCTGCATAATGTCAGTACAATAAAAAAAAAAAGGATGCTTCAATCCTGGTTTGTGGATGTTAAATCAGGTTTATTTTGTACATGAACATAATGGATACCCATACAGCAGTGGATATTAATGTCTATCCTGTCACATTTGCTGTGCAAAAACAGTGCAAAGTTAACATGTTAAACATGCATACTGTGTGTGACTCATCGTTGCAGAAAGGCTTGAATTAACTACACAACAAATACATCAAATAATCATTGGGAAAGTTCTTGCGTGAGATCTGCTTCCTTCATGTCGGTCACTGTGCTGCTTATCTGATGCAACCAGAGGCACACTTGAACAGGCACATCGAAATGGTGGTTCATTAGTATTTACTAGTTCATTTGCATTAAAGGCACAGGCAACAAAAACAGCTACATTGTGTTCAAGGCAGAAAACTCCAATATTCTGAAAGGTATAATAAATAAGCTGATTTTACAGACACATTCTGGAGACACAAAATACGCATCTTAAATCTTGAAACTGGTGTAAAACAGGTGCCCTTTAAATCACAAAAAACGAAACATTAGCATTTTATTTAGCATTACTTACTTACAAAGGACTTCAAGTACTGATGTGACTAATAATAATGATGGTTATATTTCTCAGGCACTGCCTCCTACCTCTGTGTTCTCTCCACTGGGACCTGGAACCCAAAAGGGCCAGATCTGAGCAACTGTACATCCCACTGGGTAAATCAAGTCGCACAAAAGGTTTGTAGTTCCCGATTGTTAACATGTGGCCATTTTTAGAGCATAATATCATAGAAATAAGTTACTCTCCAGTGTCATATTTTAAAACTGATTCTTTCTGGATCACTTGCTAAGATGAAGACACATAGCCTTCAAACATCCATTAAGAGTCCGACAATACAGACCGATCTGGTGCTGTTATCAGCATGTGTGTTTTTGTTAATATTCGATGCTTCTTGTAAATAGAACTGATGTGCACATTGGGACACGGATCTTCTTATAGAACACCCACAAAAACGAACTAAAGAAGCATTAACGCTTCATCCACTGAAATCCAGGAAGCGTTTTCGAATGCTATTACAAAGTGTTACCAGTTTCTAATGATAGCTGTAATTGCTCGCGGGGGCTGTTGCTGACTCAGCACGATGATGTCATAATGGGAGTCAGGAGCCTCGTAGATACAAAATGATATTTTTCAGAGCCATGCTGTGAGGTTAATTTGTGTAATCTCTCAGATCCGAAGTGGGGAAAACGCAGCCAACCTGGCGAACGAGCTGGCCAAACATACCAAAGGAGCCATCTTTGCTGGTGACATTAGCTCTACCATGAGGCTCATGGAGCAGCTGGTGGATATCCTAGATGCTCAGTTACAGGAACTGCGACCCAGCGAGAAAGACTCCACCGGCCGCAGCTTCAATAAGGTAGTAACAGGATTTCATTCCGAACATGGTTTTTTAATAAGCAGCAGCATGCCTTGGTACCGTTCAGCGGTACTTTGCTTAAAGGACACTTGACTGTTTAACAGCATCAAACTCATTGTCACTCCCCATCTTGCTTTGAGAGATTAAAGTCAATTCTGGTGCTATATGTTTGATATCCCAAATCACAAGACAATGAAATCGCCATCACCATCAGGGGCATGGATTTGTCTGGTGTGTAATTCTGCTGCTTGCAGTTTTTAAAGGGATAGTTCACCCAAAAAATTAAAATTCTCCCATGAGTTTCTTTATTCTGTTGATCACAAAAGAAGATATTTTGATGAATCTAGGAAACCTAAAACAACTAACAGCCATAGCAGGAAAAACAAATATTATGCTGTTTAAAAAAAAATCTTTAAAAAAAACGGTCAAAAGACTGAGATATTCCATTACATTTTAGAAATTAACAATTTCACAGCATTACAAGCAAAAACTGTAAAAATACAGAACATACTTTGTTCCAAAATTCATTAAATTTATTTATTTATTACCGTTTATAATTTGCATTTAAACTGTGAAAAAAACGAATAACAAAACAAAACTCAGAATATTTTTTTTTGATAATCTGTAACAGTAATTTCTCGCTCCATAATAACAAGTTATTGCTGTCATTTTACAGATTATCACTGTAATGATATAGGTAATTACTGTCATTTTACAGATTATAATTGTAATGATACTGGTAATTACTGTCATTTTACAGATTATAATTGTAATGATACAGGTAATTACTGCCATTTTACGGATTATAATTGTAACGATGAAGGTAATTACGGTCATTTTACATAATATATCTGTAATGATACAGGTAATTACTGTAATTTTACTAATTATTACTGCAATTATACAGATTATTGCTGTCATTTTACAAATTATTACTGTAGATATATAATTTATTATTGTAATTATACAAATTAATGTGATTATAATGACTGTTACTGTAAGTTTACAGACTAATTAATGTTATTGTACAGATTAATTAATTTAATTATGCACAAATTCTCAAAATATTCCATAAAATTTTACATTTTTAACATACATTTAAGACAGAAAAAATCTATTAAAGAATGATTAAATAAATACAAGAAATTGCTGTTGACATAAAAAACACTGTAAATATAACTATAAACCATATTAACAAATATTTTTTCAGATGTGTAGGTTAAAATCCAAAACAATTTGCTTCAAAAACTACTAAATAGTTATATATCAAATTGTTTAGTTCTTTTATTTATTTTCTTTTATTTTTCTTTATTTATTTTTTACTTTTTTTTTTTTTTTTTTTTTTTTTACAAATAACACATTTACTCATCAATTAACAACCAAAAATAAGGTTAGTGTCATGTGAGGACGCCTGCACAACAAAGTCGAGAATCAAATAGCAGTTTATTAAGAGAATTGTCTCACAATTAAAGGTTGAAACAGGAACAAACAGGTGTATACAGATAATCCCAAGCATAAAGGCGGCAAACAAAGTAACAAAGCAAAGCAAAGAGTCAAACACGGCAAGAGAAACTGCAGCGCAATGTATAATGTATAATCATTGAGAATAAGGAACCACTGTGTCCGAGGTGCATGCTGGGAGTTGTAGTTCGTTAACATAGTATAGTAAAGTTGAACCCTGAAAAAAAAAAAAAAAAAAAAATATATATATATATATATATATATATGTATATATATATATATATATATATATATATATATATATATGTGTGTGTGTAACTAAGAGTTGTAAAATAAACATTTTATAGTTTACAGTGCATGCATTGTATGCAGCCTACAAACATGGGCTATATTTTGACATGATTAACCTCACTTTAATCTTCATATGATTACTATCTTAAATTGTGTTTCCCTATTTTTACAGGGATGAATTAACATAACATTACGTGTTACTCTCTGAAAATGCAGAAAATTCCCTTTAAAAAAACAACAACAAAAAATGTAATATCAAAATACAAGCAATAACTTTAAATGTAATGTTAGAATTTTTTTATTACAAAAATATCTGTAGAACAACAGGTATTTCACTGTATAAAGAAAAAAAAACTGGAAAAACAGTACAGACAATTACCTGTAAAATAACATTTGTTTCTTACAGTGTATGGAAGTCAATGGTTACAGGTTTCCAACATTTTTCTTAATATTTTATGTTGTGTTAACAGTAAAAGACAACTCAAATGTGGGTAAAAGATGACAGAATTTTCATTTTTGGGTGAGCTGTCTCTTTAAGAAGCAACAATATAAATACATGACAAAGGTAAAAACACAATGACACAATTTTGTAACATGTTATTCCTCAATATTACCATACTGGTTTAATGCACACTTGTGCTTCCATAATACCAGAATGATGCATATTTCAGTACATTCTACAAGTATGCAAATTAGGATGCAGCCACAGTAATTTTTTGTAAATAGGTCACAAAGAAATGAACATAGCCAGATATCGGTTTGCAAAAATTATTAAAGGGTATTATATAAAACATGTGCTCTGCTTTTAAAATACATATGTAAGACAGCTTTGTACTTAGCCGAGATTTATGTAACATTTACTTTTAACAGTAGAAATCTTGGGGGCATGCATTCATCAAGCCTGAGCTTTTAAAGATGTATGGCTCTATTCAGCATGTTCCAAGGCTACTGAGCTTATATACATAAGTAAATTCACCTAAAGGGATTCAGCATTAATTGACACAGTTCAACCAAACTGAACATTGTATCACTGTTTCCTCGAGAACTCCTTCTAGTTTTAAAATACATCTTATTCATTTATTTATTTATTTATTTGTTTGATTTTTTATTTATTTATTTATTTATTTATTTATTTATTTATTTATTTATTTATTTATTTATTTATTTATTATGTATCAACAAAATAGATACATAAATGTAATTCCAAAAAGACATGACATACTTTATATGACAAACAGATTTGACTTTATTAACATGTAAGCATCAGTCAGCACACAAAAATAGAGCAAATAAAATATGATACATGATATATATGGTATATATATTTGGTATATATATATATATATATATATATATATATATATATATATATATATGGTATATATATATGGTATATATATATGGTATATATATATTGTATATATATATGGTATATATATATATATATATATATATATATATATGTATATATATATTATTATTATTATTATTATTATTATTATGAATTTTTTTTTTAATATTTCCCAAATGATGTTTAAGAGAGCAAGGAAATTTTCAATGTATGTCTGATAATATTTATTCTTCTAGAGAGATTCTTATTTGTTTTATTTTGGCTAGAATAAAAACAGTTATCAATTTTATTAGGACAAAATTATTACCCCTTTTAAGCGATTTTTTTTTTCTGATAGTACAGAACAAACCATCGTTATACAATAACTTGCCTAATTATCCTCAACATACATATCAACATACATAAATATATATAAATTTGTTAAATACTTAAATTTAGAAACACACACACATATATATATATATATATATATATATATATATATATATATATATATATATATATATATATATATATATGAAATTATGTATCTAAATTTAAGTATTTAACAAATATCTATATGTGTATGTTGATCAATGTTTGCTTGAGAGTAAAGGCCGTTCATCATATAATGTGTTCATGATCCATTGGTTTTATGTATTTGTTTAAATTGACTTGCTAAATGTTTTGAATGTTTTGGTTGAATGCTTTTTCAATTGATAGACACAGAATAAGGAGTAAAGTTGTACACAGAGTAAGTGTTATGAGTTGGAACATATGAGAGTGAGTCAAAAAACAGACAGAAATGTCATTTATGGGTAAAATTTTCTTTCCAAGTTTACTTTGCGGGCATATTTAATGTTTAAATGAACCTCAATACATTTTAGCACAAAGACAGAAACCAATACAGTGCCATTGTGTGCTCTGTATGCCTTGTTGTCTCTAATTAAAACCACAAAATGGGTGAAATCTAATGTACATCTGTAAACTCTAATGGCTGTAGCAAAGGCAGTTCTGACTAGAAGTCAAATTTTCTTTTAAATCATATTGCAGTTGCAGGTTACCAGAATAGAAGCATTTTTCAAATAATATAGATGCCTCAATCCTATAGCAGTAGTGCCATTTGTGTCATGGAAAGCATGTGGGCATTTACCAATATGATTTACACGAGCAGGGCATGTTTTAATACTTATGAATCTCTAAACCCAAACATTAGTTTCACTCAACCCCCTAATCCCAACTCTTAATCCTAATCCCAAATCCACTTCATCTCTTAGTATAAACTCCCAACCACAATCCCTAACCCAGCTCCTAGTTACCTAACTAGATATTTACATTAACCCTCACTTCGTCTTTACTCCCACTCTAATCCTATCTGACCAAAACACAACCTCTCAGTTCAGCATTTAACTCTGAACCCCAATCAGTCCTAATATCAGTCCTATCCCAGCAGACACACAACATCATTAGATGTTAATATTAGGTTAGATTTAGGTCGCCAGCATCTAAGGACAATGTCATTTTGATGTCCAATAATCACGTGAAATGACGTTAATATTTTGTTGTATTTAGCTTGCATTGGAAAGTAACCAAAATGCAACATCGAAAGCATCTCAGGGTGCTTTCACACCTGTGAATTGATTCTTTTGTTCCGAAACAGGGATTAAAATTATTACAATGTTTATTTTTGTTCTTGGTGCGCTTCACTTTCACACGGCAAGGTTTCTAAATGAACTAAGCGTGCTTTTACACCTTGACTTTTGTTTCGGAAGCTATCTCGTTTGCCCAGTTAGCGCGGTTCGTTTGGCATATGTGAAACCACCAATCGCACTCTTATCCGCACCAAATCAATCGCTCCGAGATGGCTTGAATGGTCTCGGCTCGATTGAAATGAACTGTGGAGCGGATCGATTGTAGTGAGAAAGCGATACGATCCGAGCCCGGTTATATCACAGTGTTTTATGAATATGTATAGGCATATGCCTATATGAAGAGAGTATTATGAGTAGGGCCGGAGGTCATTCCAGACATTCCAAGTCTCCCGGAAGTTTCAGTAGTCTCCTACAAATGCACAGAGACTCCTGGATGCCCGCAAATAAGTGATAATCTCCCGGAAATTGCACGTCTCTCTCCCGGTCCTCAAATGCGTCACACAACCTTCTCACCCCTCCCCACCGCATCCCTCCTCGCTCTTCAGACACGTCAATCTACACTCTCAAACACCAAAACTCTGACCAATGTGAGGAGAGTTTACTTACACGCGACTTGTTTTAGCTCTTTTGTTCCATTTAGAAACTTTGCAGTGTGAAAACGAACCGCACCAAGAACAAAGAGCAACAATGTAACAATTTTAATCCCTATTTCGGAACAACTGAATCGACTCACAGGTTTGAAAGCACCCCTAAAAGAGCTAAGACAAGTCACGTGCGAGTAAACTCTCCTCACATTGTTCAGAGTTTCATGGTTTGTCATGTGTCCATATTTTAATTTATGGCAATGAGCAATGAGACATTATAAGCGAAAAGCTGCACTTACATTTTGAATGGTGACACCCACAGACATTGTCACCAAATATAAATCAGAGGTAAGACTTTCTCATACATAGCATTTGGCTTATGCAATATAAGCTTTACTTTATAGAGAGAAGTAGCAGATAAACCAAGAATGCCATTCTGTCAATTTTCCTATCGGATAAACAGCTCTCCTTAAAAGTTAACTTGACTTGAAATGCACATTTACTGGTAGGAACGACATCCCACCCTACTTATAATTCTCTCTTCATATAACTGTATATGTGCCTATTACATTTCCATAATACACTGTTATATAGCCTGGTTAGGATCTTATTCCTTTCTCACTACAATCGATTCGCTCCAGAGTTTCTTTCAATCGAGCTGAGACTACCTCATTCAGGCGATCTCGGACTGATTGTTTTGCTGCAGGTCCAAGTGCATTTGCTAAATTCACATATGCCAAACAAACTGGGGAAACAATCCAGGTTCCAGTCTAAGTGTGAAAGCACCCTTAAACCAATGTCGTATTGACCTTAAAAACTGACAGTTATTTATTACCAAAATACAACCTCTGATAGACGTCATATTAGTAATGTCCACACAACGTCAAGCTGTAACATCATTGTATATTTGGTTGTTTTTAGGTTGCATTGTAAAGTAACCAAAATGCAAAGTCTGTCCCATGTTGGACATTGACATCGGCCTCACATTGTATTCTGCATCAACCCAATTTTCAGTTCCAAACAAATGCAACGTTCCACAGAGTACAGCGTCAATCTGACGTCATGTTGACGTCCTGTGCTTGCTGGGATGTGTCACAAATATGCGCCCTTTTGTTGGTTTTCTTTTCAACTTAGTCCCTTTATTTATCTAAGGTCGCCACAGTGGAATGAACCGCCAACTTATCTAGCATATGTTTTACACAGTGAATGCCCTTCCAGCTGCAACCCATCACTGGGAAACATCCATACACACTCATTCACACATACACTACAGACAATTCAGCTTACCCAATTCACCTATACCAGATGTGTTTGGACTTGGGAAACCAGAGCACCCGGAGGAGACCCATGTCAACATGGGGAGAACATGTAACCTCCATATAGAAATGCCAAATGACTCAGGGCTCGAACCAGCAACTTTCTTGCTGTGAGGTGATTGTGCTACCCACTGCACCACAGTGCTGCCCTTGCATCTTTTTTTTTTTTTTTGCTTTTCTTTCAACTATGATCCCCAATCTCTGACCTTAAAATTTTTTTCTGACCCTAAACTGTTTCATCTAACTTGGGGATCCAAGTTAGATGAAACAGTTTAGGGTCAGAAAAAAATTTTAGCCTCAAAACAGTATCCAATTTCCTGTCCAAAATCCCTTCCTTAACCACTGTTATTAACCTTTCCATTACTATCCTACAACCTTATCCAAACTCGACCCCCTTCGGTAAATTCATGCTTCCAACTCACCTTGGATAAAAGTCTCTGCTAAATAACTAAATGTAAATACCCAGCAAACATTTTTTTTTGTTTTTAAAAAGATGTCTAATAGATGTCTAAACGTAGACAGCTTGCTAAAACAAGGATAAATTAGGGCTGTCAGTGAAAATCTAATAGACATCTTAGAATAGTCCAAAACTAGAGTAGTCATCAAATAAACAGAAATGAAAGACTACACATAAAGTCTGTCTAATCTGTTTATTTGACGACTGGTCTAGTTTTGGGCTATTCTGTTAGATTTTCACCGACAGCCCAAGTTTAGCCTTGTTTTAGCAAGCTGTCTACGTTTATATGTCTATTAGACATCTATTAAACACTAAAATGTTCACTGGGTGTAAATTTCAATCCCCAACCCTGATCTTTGTGTGCATATTTTGCATGTTACAGATAGTTAATAAGTTATTGATTTTATTTTGAACTTAATTTAAAAGCGCTTGTGGATTTTTTTATGTTTTATTTTTTTATTTTTGGCTATACACCCAAACATCCATTGGTCACGTGATTTCATCAAAGCAGATCCAACTGCTTAACTCTGTTTCTGAACTTCTTTTGGATTGGAGAAGTCATTAGTACATCATCAGCCTTTCTAACTGTGTTTCTTTGGTCTGTTTTTGTTCTTGTGTGTGTCCTCTCTCAAATAAAAAAAAAAAGCTTCAAAAGCGAGAAAGGACGTGCAGGGCATATATGAAGGTATATCTGTGCTACGCTACTATGGTCTTGTTTCTGTACTTCCACATCTTTTTTTCCCTGCTCTTTATCCTCAGCATGGTCCTGTCTCCCTTCATTCTCACTGTCGCCAAAGCATTTCACTCCGCCAGTGTCCTCATTTCTGGAGGTTCGATATTTCAGTGGATTGGAAATTATGTGGCTGCAATTTTTATGCCCAATTCACACCTTTTATGTGTTTGTTGGTGGTCTTTATATTTATTTATATGTATTTTTTTTCAGTTTCTTTCTTGTTAAAGTCATGTGTTAATATTTGTTGCTCGATTTGCAGGTTGGCGATGCATGTGTTGTTGTTGTTGCGCTTAAATTGATCTTTTTTGGTTGTACAAGGGTAGATGCCAATTTCTGAGCTGTCGAAAGATTTTAGACCAAAGAAACTAACAATAAAGTTTGACTAAATGCATAACTCTGTTTTGGAAACGCAAATCAGTGATTGTGAAACTCCTGACTGTGAAGCTGCATGTATCATCTTTTTATTATTGTTTTTAATTGGGTGTAGAGAAGAAAAATGATTCAGCATCAAGGATATCACATATAAAACGTGGAATATTACAGCTGTAAAATGTAGTTTATTATCATATGAGTCAGAGCTGGAAAACCAATTGGACGAACAATAATTATCTAAGTAGGCGACATGAGTCAATATTTTAGTCTGGAGGTGTTTGTGTGTGTGCTGCAGCTCTGACTGAATAGCATGAGACTGCAAGTGTGTAATGTAAAATGTTTTGGTGTAATTTAATCAAACATTTGAGGAAGCTGTTTAATTATTACCAGTCAAAGTCGATCCAAAATAATGCCATTTAACATTTTCAACAATCCTGCTTAAGTACTGAATTTTGGAGATTCTCTAACAGCGTTTAGATGTTATTCATTTCATCTTTGTGAACTATGTAGAAATCTGATTCATGGAAGTATATGCAAATTACATATGACATATTTTATATTTGAATTTTACATATATAGACGCACAGTATATGAACACATATAAAATTAAAGCTAATATATTTGATCATATATGTATACATTTGCAGTTCCAGTAATTGAGGAAATATATATGAAAGCAAAATGTTTTGCATATATAAAATATACACTCACCGGCCACTTTATTAGGTACACCTGTCCAACTGCTTGTTAACGCAAATTTGTAATCCGCCAATCACATAGCTGCAAATCAGTGCATTTAGGCATGTAGACATGGTCAAGATGATCTGCTGCAGTTCAAACCGAGCAGAATGGAGGAAGAAAGGTGATTTAAGTTAATTTAAACGTGACAAGCTTGTTGGTGCCAGACGGGCTAGTGGGATTTTCACGCACAACCATTTCTAGAGTTTACAGAGAATGGTTCGACAAAGAGAAAATATGCAGTGAGTGGCAGTTCTGTGTGCGCAATTATCTTGTTGATGTCAGAGGAAAATGGCCAGGCAGGTTCTAGCTGATACAACTATAACAACCGAGGTATGCAGAAGAGCATTTCTGAACATACAAGACGTTGAACCTTGTGGCGGATGGGCTACATTAGCAGAAGACCACAAGGACAGGACACTGAGACTACAATTTGCTCAGACTCACAAAAATTGGACAATAGAAGATTGGAATAACATTGCCTGGTCTGATTAGTCTCGATTTCTGCTGTGACATTCAGATGTAAGGGTCTAAATTTGGCATCAACAACATGAAAGCATGGATCCATCCTGCCATCCTCCCTTTTGGGGGATTTTTCTTCGCACTCTTTGGGCCCATTGGTAACAATTGAGCATCGTTTCAACGCCACAGCCTACCTGAGTATTGTTGCTGACCATGTCCATCTCTTTATGACCACAGTGTACCCATCTTCTGATGGCTACTTCCAGAAAGATAACGTGCCATGTAATAAAGCACATCATGAAACTGGTTTCTTGAACATGACAATGAGTTCACTGCACTCATATGGCCTTCACAGTCACCAGATCTCAATCTAATAGAGCACCTTTGGGATGTGGTGGATCAAGAGATTCGCATCATGGATGTGCAGCTAACAAATCTGCAGCAACTGCATGATGCTATCATGGACCATAATCTCTGAGGAAAATTTTCAGTACATTGTTAAATCTATGCCACAAAGGATTAAAGCAATTCTAAAAGCAAAATGGGTTCCAACCCGCTACTAGTAAGGTGTACCTAATGAAGTGGCCGGTGAGTGTGTATTTCATATATGTGAAATTGAAATGTTAACTTGTATTTTGTACATGTACTTTGCATATATTGCAAACATCAGACTTGTATATAAGGAAGCATATTTTCAAGACAGAATCAAATGGGGGATATTTGAAAAGAGTCATCTGTGCCTTCAGATCTGATGACCCAACAATGCTGTCTTTATCCTAATGGACATTTGCATTTATAAGGCATCACAAACAGCTGTCTTTCTTTACCTCACATGTGTCTGTTTATGTACTTGAAGAGCCTTTGACATTCAATACTGCACTCTTCAGACTAACAGAGCATGTCAGGCTCATTTCTGCAGCCTTGTTTTTTTTTTTATGTGTGTCACCTGATAACGACCTAAAACAAAGTGTGCATGTTTGCTTTCATTCGGGCACGGGCAGACAGCTGCTGATAAAGTCAAGGCTTTGACATTTGACCTTACTACAGTGGTTAGTGCTGACACAAGCGTCTCATTGGGCTGCAGGCTATCGTGGATACAGTCGACAACCTCCTCAGACCGGAGGCTCTGAAATCGTGGCGAGATATGAATACCACGGAGCAGACGCACGCCGCAACCATGTTACTGGACACCCTGGAGGAAGGAGCCTTTGTCCTTGCTGACAATTTAATGGAACCAGCCATTGTGAAAGTACCAGCCAGTAATATAAGTGAGTACGAGCAATGCACAGAACTAATAGAACTGACAACATATATACTGTAGCTTAATCCGCAGCTGATCACTTTGACTTTTCAAACCTGCTTTAGCTGGGAAATTGTATTGCAATAGCATCTAAAATAAAAGATAGATGGCATAGAAATACAGCGCATCTGGAAAGTATCCATACCTCTTCCCTTTTTCCATATTGTTTATGTTACAGCCTTATTCCAAAATGGATTAAATTCATTTATTTTCTCAAAAGTCTACACACAATACCCCATAATGACAATTCTCAATTCAATTGTTGCAAATTTATTAAAAATAAAAAACCTGAAAAATCACATGTACATATTCACAGCCTTTGCTCAATAGGATTTAGGTCTGGGCTCTAGCTGGGCCACTAAAGGACATTCACTTGTTGTTGTGAAGCCACTCCATTGATATTTTGGTGCTGTGCTTTGGGTCATCGTCCTGGTTGAAGATGAACCGTCGCCCCAGTCTGAGGTCAAGAGCACTCTGAGGCAGGTTTTCATTTAGGATCTCTCTGTACATTGCTGCATTCATCTTTCCCTCTATCCTGACAAGTCTTCCAGTTCCTGCTGCTGAAAAACATCCCCACAGTATCATGCTGCCACCACCATGCTTCAATAAATGAATTGTATTGGACTGGTGATGAGCGATGCCTGGTTTTCTCCAATCGTAACGCCTGGCATTCACTCCAAAGAGTTCAATTTTAGTCTCATCAGACCAGAGAATTTAGTTTCTTATGGTCTGAGAGTCCTTCAGATGCCTCTTGGAAAATTCCAGGCGGGGAGTGTCTTCTGTCTGGCCACTCTACCATACAGGCCTGATTGGTGGATTGCTGCACAGATGGTTGTCCTTCTGTGAGGTTCTCCTCTCTCCACAGAAGAAAGCTGGAGCACAGACAGAGTGACCATCGAATTATTGATCACCTCACTGACTAAGACCCTTCTCCCCCGATCACTCAGCTTAGATGGCCGGCTAGCTCTAGGAAGAGTCCTGGTAGTTTCAAACATCTTCCACTTACGGATGATGGAGGCCACTGTGCTCATTGGAACTTTCAGAGCAGCAGACATTTTTCTGTAACCTCCTGTCTCAGAGGTCTACAGACAATTCCTTTGTCCTCATGCTTGGTTTGTGCTTTGCCATGCACTGTCAACCCTGGGACCACATGTAGCCAGGTGTATGCCTTTTCAAATCATATCCAACCAACTGAATTTACCACAGGTGAACTCAAATTAAGCTGCTGAAACATCTCAAGAATGATCAGTTGAAACAGAATGTACCTGAACTCATATTAGAACTTCACGGCAAAGGCTGGTAATACTTATGTACATGTGATTTTTCAAGTGTTTTTTTATTTATTTTTTTTTAAATTTGCAACAATTTCAAAGTAATCTTTTTTTCACATTGTCATTATGGGGTATTGTGTGTAGAATTTTGAGGAAATAAATGAGTTAAATTTTGGAATAATGCAGTAATATAAAAAATTGTGGGAAAAGTGAAGAGCTATAAATACTTACTGGATGCTCTGTCCATTTGGGTATTGGCATAACCTGCAGTGTAACATTTTAGGTACCATCCTACACTATTTTAAACAGCACTTACCTAATTCCTCCAGTACTGTTGTGCATGCAGTTTTTATGACCTCATATTAATTGGGGCTCGACATGGAATCTTCCTGCTCCATTCATTTACCACACTGCAGGACCTTTTAAAAATGAAGTAAAGGCAAAAAAGCCTTTTCTGTTCTTACTAAAAAGTCCAAATAGTGTTAAGTTAATTCATTTATTTCATTATATGACTTACTCTGCACCCTATTTTGACTATTTTGAATGCAAACACACCTGTTTTTCTATGTAAATTATACTCATTACACATTGTTCTGTATTTAGAAAATGAATTTACTGGTGAAACTGTGTTTGTTGATCACGTTAGAACTTATTCATCAGATAAAGCAGAGAAGAGTGTAATGTAAGACAATTGAACCGCTAGCAAACTCCAACCTAGTGCTTCGAATTTTCAGCGTTATGCAAATTGTGTAGAGCACAGATTTTGTGGGTGTGTTTTCACCGCTGACCGATTTGCATAATTCCTTTAGTGAATCAAACGACGCAGATAGTGCATGCAAATAAACCGTAATTCATTCTCAGCGAATCCCCCCCCCCCCCCCCCCTTATTCCGTCTCGTCTTTCTGCTTGGTGAACTAACAACGTGAAACATCTGATTTCTCTCCGCAGTTCTGGATGTTTACGTGCTGAGCACAGATGGGCAGGTTCAAGATTTCAGGTTTCCCCAGAGTGGCAGGGGTGGTATTTCTATCCAATTGTCTTCCAATACGGTGAAACTCAACAGTCGTAATGGTACGCTCCAACCCACTCACAAACGCACTCATGTAAAGTCATTGTACCGCATTAGCATCAAATCCATTGAGAGTAAGAACATATAAGATTGTGCCGGTCACTATGGAGATAGAACTGATCTCATGGTCAAGGAAAAGTCTGAACATTGATGTGAACATAATGCTCAGCATATGTTGTTTTGCACAAACACATCTGGGTCTGTTGCTTGGTCACTTGATGCTGAAGTTAAAAACTTTTGGGGGATGTATATGTGTGTGGGATTGTACTGTTTAGGGATAATTCAGCAGCAAATCAAGCATAAGATGATTGCAAACATACTAAGAACCATTTTTTTTATTAAATGTACATGATAACAAGTCACAGTGGGAATTGTCATGATTGTCAAAATGTCTTTCTCTTAATAGGCTTCATTTTCATTTGCGCAGAACATAATTTCCCATTTTTTCTCCATTAATTTTGGCGTGAACTAAAACCCAGAGGTGTTCTTGACAGTTTTTGTGAGGCTCACTGACATAATAGACAGTAATGAGAAGTAAGTTTTGCCATTTTTTGCTTTGCAGGTGTTGCCAAGTTGGTGTTCGCCCTTTATAAGAACCTGGGGCAGTTTCTAAGCACTGAGAATGCAACAATGAAACTCGGCCAGGAGGTCAACGGACGCAACCTCTCGGTGGCTGTGAATTCTGACGTCATCGCCGCATCAATAAACAAAGAATCCAGTCGTGTATTTATATCGGAGCCTGTGATTTTCACCCTGGAGCACATCGACGTGAGTGCAAGCAATAAACAAACAAAGCGATCGTAAAAGCAGCGGGATAGCAAAGCAAGGCGGCAAATAAAGGGAAAATAAAAGCAGTCTCAATTCAAACACCCTACAAGGTCACAGAGGGGTTTATTTAAGCCATCGAACACGAAATTAACAAAGTCTAAACCAATGATTATTACCAGCCTAGACCAAATTCTTAATGAAAACTAATTCGTTTGTCGACATTAGGATGTAAATGATGCAATTTCCTTTTTTTGGAGTGGAAAATTAACTCCCAGATTAGCTATACAATGCAGGATGAAATTACCAGAGGACCAATTATCATCGCGCTCTCTTTTAAAGTGTCAGGAGCGTTCCCAGAGGAGACCCGGCTTGATTTTTGCTCTCTATCAAAGTAATTGTGTGATTTCCACAGACATGCCTTCAAACCATTCTGCCCCCTGTTAGCACCTCATATAATCAATGGTCCCGTGCAAGATTTCGCACTCATTTAACCTTATTAGATTCGTTGGTCGTTTATGGGAGAACACACACTGCGCATTCAAAAGAGTGTTTGATATGGCCGGCGTATCATTTGCCCAAGAATGAATGCCAACAGTCAGAGGGAATTACAATGCCGTTTCTCATGCGCTGCTGCCATTATCGGAGGGACGGCTACTAAATATCAATTGAATATGATCTGCTAACTCATGAGGAATCTTTCTGCCGTCGATTACAGATGCAGCATTACTATAACTCCAACTGCTCGTTCTGGAACTACTCGGAGAGAACCATGATGGGATACTGGTCCACTCAGGGCTGCAAACTCATCCACGCCAATAAAAGTCACACCACATGCTCCTGTAGTCATCTCACCAACTTTGCCGTGCTCATGGCTCATCGAGAGCTGCTGGTAAGATGCGATCTTCATAAATATTTAAGCTTTTGTCCGTGCGTTACTGTGAAACCCAGCTGTTATAATAGACAGAGCCAACTGTCGTCTGCTTCTCTAAGCCAAACTATATGAATAGATACCTTTCATTGGCCTATTTAAGGGTTCTGAGTTTACTGATAAAGTTAATCAAATTTTATTCATGTGAAAACAGTTATGCGAGTTGTCTGTGTTTTAAGATTAGTTGCATACACTGTAAAAAATGCTGGGTTCCACACAATTACTTTACATTGTCTAAGTTAACTAAATTATTTTAACAAATTTAAGTGGATTGAACCTATAACAATTAAGTTGTCCCAAAAAGCACAAAGCAATTTTGTTATTTCAACTTATTTTAAATAAATACTTTGAACAAGCAACAAAAGTAATTCCTTGAGTGTTTTGTGTTGAGTAAAGCTCTGGTCAGACCACACGATTTTGACACAATTTCCTTGACGTAGGGTGTCGTGGAGAGTCGTCACGAGATTCAATTGTTTATTCTCATTTAATGTGGCATAGTTCACGACAGCCAATATCATGTCAATCTCTTTCCACAAGTTCCGTCACGTGGGTGACACTGGGCAATAGGAGCACATCATTTCTCAGTTATTTCCACACGTGCTGCCATTATCCCCCCAATTTCTGTTTAATGGATGGAAGATTATTTCAGCACATTTCTAAACATAATAGTTTTAAAAACTTATTTTTAATAACTGATTAATTTTATATTTGTCATGATGACAGTAAATAATATTTTACTAGATATTTTTCAAGACACTTCTATACAGCTTAAAGAGACATTTAAAAGTTTAACTAGGGTAATTTGGGTAACTAGGCAGGTTAGGGTAATTAGGCAAGTTATTGTATAACGATGGTTTGTTCTGTAGACAATCGAACAAAAAACTAGCTTAAAGGGGCTAATAATTTTGTCCCAAAAATGGATTTCAAAAAATTAAATACTGCTTTTATTCTAGCCAAAATAAAACAAATAAGCCTTTCTCCAGAAGAAAAAATATTATCAAACATACTGTGAAAATGTCCTTGCCGTGTTAAACATCATTAGGGAAATAAACAATTCTAAAGGGGGCTAATAATTCTGACTTCAACTGTAGATCAGGTCAAAAAATGCAAATGCGAAACCCATTCAGTGCTGCTAATACATTGGAAAAGCCTGTCTTGCTTATTCAAATTAATTGATTGAACTAATTAAATTGAAACACATTAGCAATTGATTATTTTGCCAGTAAAAATGAAAAAAAGATCAACGTTTCTTTGCATATTTCTGTTAAATTTTATTTAGGCTATATTTTATTTTATTAAACAAACCAGTTTGTACTTTGGCGCTGAAGCATGACTGGTTTTGAAGCACGTCACCTCAGATGTGATTCGTTATTCTTGTTTATCTAGTAGATAACTGATAAACAACAAATCCATTAAAATTCAGATTATACCAAGCGAAATTCGTTACAAAGAAGTATTTTTTTCCTAAAAAAAATACAAATTTTATTTTCGTTTGTGAAAATAAGGATTTAACTAATGCTTCACTGTAATTGTTGTATCACAAACCTCTATCATATATTTGCTTTATCATATATTTCTCATTTTTTTAAAGATTATGTCTTAAGCGTCTGATTTTTCCTTGCTGCTGATGTGCTTTCATTTCCTCCGTCTCACTCGCAGCAAGTTCAGATGAGGGATTGTTTAATAAGCAACTCATGGCTGGAAAATATACATTTGAATTTAAAAGAAAATATCCTAATCTTTAAAAGGAAATATATCAATGTCATAATGAATGCCCTTGATTAATGTAGCCTAATTGTCAGCAAGCATGAGTGTTTATTGAGATTGACATAAGATTAAAAAACAAAAAAACATTGAAATTAAGATGAAAAATATAGTTATAGCAACCCTTTTGGCTGCTTTGGGAAATAACATTGCTCATCGTAGGCGTCATAGGATGGCTGATCGTGAAGAAACGTGTAGTCTGGCACATTTGTTACCCCCAACAAGTCATGATTTTGTCAAGATAAAATCACATTATCTGACATAGTGTCTTTAACAACCGACAATAAAAATTGTGTGACCTGACCGGGGCTTGAGTTACTTCAAAAATGTATTACATCATTATTATCTTTTAATTAAATTGCATTTTAATTACTATGTCTGAAAAGTAGCTCAATTGATTCAACACTACTTAAAATCCAACACATAAACACACTATAGATGAATCTCAATGCATATATGGTCTTTTCATTCTTTACATTTGAGCCAAACAAAAGCCTTTAGATTGACTAAATATAACACTTAAAGAATAATAAACCCCATGTATCAAAACACCAAACATTTCAAAGCAATGAAAATATTTCATACATATCTCATTTATAAACTTCAGACTTCTTCAATCTTCTTTGATAAATGAAACCTTCTTTAGCTGAAAAATAGAATTAATAATTACTTTGCATCTCTGTATTGGTTTATTCCGAACTGTACAGTAACTTATGTACAGTACTTAAGCAAGTACATTACAAGTAAGTACCTAAAAAAAACAGAAAAGTATATCCTTCCATGAATTTTTCTGCAGAAAAGTAATCTAATTACACTAACTAGTTACTTTGTAAATTATTGAATCCAACACTGGTTTCAGTATACATACTAGGGCTGCACAATATTTTATTTCAGCAATGTATGCATCCGCAATAGTCACATCGCAAAGATATGCAATGCTGAGTTAGGATTATATTTGAGCAAAAGTGAAATTTTACAGCTTGCATGTTTTTAAGGCCTGAGAGATTTTAAGTATTCAGGCACAAGACCCTTTCTTGATTGGAAGTTAAATAAAGTATAATTTTATTGCATAATTTATCATCATTCAGCAAAATTAATACATTTTGTAACATTTTACGGGCCAATGCTCACTATTAAATAATTGCTTATTAGCATGCATGTTATAGAGATATTGGCTGCTTATTAGTACGTATAAACTAAATATTCTGCATGATCTTATTCCACATCCCTAACCCAATACCTAAACCACCTTAATATCTATTAATGAGCAGATTAGAAGTTAATGGTTTGTTAATGGTTTGCTAACAGCGTGAAGTGAACGTTAAAATAAAGTGTTACTATAAATTCTTTCCAAATAGTGCTATTTAATAATTTGGTGAAGTTGTAGATACAGTATATCACAATATATGTATCATAGAATAATAAAACATCACAATGTCAGATTTTTCCAATATCATGCAGCCCTAATGCATACCATATTCTGGGCAGCAAACTATTTTTATTTCAAAAGAGACAGATTTCATTCTGTTCTGTTTGCCATTAGATGTCCTCTAGACATTAGTCATTTAGTAAATGCAATCGTAATCTAAATGTTGTCTTTCCGTCTCTGTTCATTCGATTCTCAGGGTGCCGACAAAGTCCAGGAGCTGTTGCTGAGTGTTATCAGTCGTGTGGGTATTGTAGTATCCCTCATCTGCCTGGCCATGAGCATCTTCACCTTCTGTTTTTTCCGTGGACTGCAGAGTGACAGGAACACAATCCACAAGAACCTGTGCATCAATCTTTTCATAGCTGAGCTCATCTTCCTCATCGGAATCGACATGACAGAACCTAAGGTAACATTACTTTAAATGCATGATATGCTTCTTTGGGAAATGTCTAGAGACATGTCTGCAATAGCCGAGACAAATTTTTGAAGGGCATTTGAGTGTATTCTAGCCGCGTTTTGACGTGATTATAGTTTTTTCAGGCTTTTTTGACATTGGTAAATTGAAACTTCCTGACAGTAAATAGGTATTTTTTTGTCATGGAATTTTTATTCTTGCAAATAGCATTTTAGGTATTACAAAAACTCACACACCATATCCAATCCTATGTAGCCCCAGCAAAACAATCCCCAAATAAAACAATCAACACCTGTAAGAAAAGATAATTATAATAATAAATCAAATTAAATAAACTCACATACAGAAAATACAAATAATAACAAACCATATACATGCATACACGTATACCTTCACTCCATCCACATCTAAGGTTTTAAAATTATTAAAGAATGCAATAAATTGTGGCTATTTTTCAGAAAAACGTTCTCCCCTACCTCTGATATTGTATTTAATTTTCTCAAGTTTTAAAAAGAACAGATCTTTTAGCCACAATGAAATAGAGAGTGGTTGTGGGGAGGTCCAAAACAGTAGTATTCTGCACCTAGCGAGAAGAAATGCAAAAGCCACAATGTCTGCGTGCCTCCGGTTTAAATGTTGACATTGAGAAGGAACACCAAAGATTGCGATTATGAGGCAAACAAGCTAACTTGACCCCCAAAAATATCAGAAACAAATTTTAAGTAATCTAATAGTTTTGCTACTTAGGACAAAATACAAACATATAAGTAGGGTCAGACGGAATCTTCTGAAGTTTTTTTCTATTTCTGTGTAGAATTTTGGTAAAAATCTGCAGATTTCTGCAGAATTATTTTGGGAGTATCGAAACTAAAACCTTAATATGTAAAAAAAAAATATATATATACATATATGTTTTCAACTTTTATTTAATGTTTAAAATGCAAATCCAACTAGATTCACTTTATTTGGTGACACAAAGCAAGTCTCTCAAATAATATATCTATTAAAAGACAGAAAATATTACTGTCCAAACTGCATTGTACATAAATCAGGTAAACATTTTCACATTAGTCATTAATTTTGCTGAAATTAAAAACTGAATAAATATAAATTTACACACATTTACTCTAGTAAATAAACAGATTTATGATGGACTAAAAATCTGTGGAAAATCTGCGGAATTCTGTGCGCACAGATTCCGTGTGGGCCTACATATGAGTAAGGTTACATGGTGAAAGTTTACTTTAAGCACACATATCTGAAACATTTGGATTTATTTTTAGAAAGTTTGGCCTTTGAGAGATGAGCTCTGTGAATGGTTTTAAATTGTATGAAACTGAGTCTAGCGCCTGAAGTGGAGGTGCGCACGTTGTCTAATACTGCACTCCAGTAGTCATTTTCAAACAGTCGAGTTCCTCTTCTCAGGCCCTGATAGCTTTAATGTTATGAGAGTTATTCTTTGACAAGATGATTGCGTATATCTTAGAAATGATCCCACTCATATGAGCATTCAGTTTATAAATATGTATTTAAATGTATGAATTGCTTTGTCAATGTGGAATACTAAAAATATAAAATAAACAGATAAATAGCATTTAAAATCATAAATAAAAACAAAATAAATCAGTAAAATATATTTGCATTGCAGGTCTGTTTAAACCTGATTAGCCTTTTTTTAAACAATGTTTTTTTTTTTTTTTTTTGTATAATTAATAAATAATAATAATTTTAACATCAAAACAGTCTTAATTTATTTAACCTTTTAACAAAAAATAAATAAATAAATAAATATTTTTTGGGGAGAGCTAAAGGTAAATGTTTACAATAACAATAACAATAATAATAATAATAATAATAATAATAATAATAATAAAAAAAAAATAAATAAATAAATAAATAAATAAATAAATAAATAAATAAATAAATAAATAAATAAATATTTTTTATTGATCTGTTCTGGGTCAGAAAAACACACACACATACAATATGAAGGCGAAGATGACAAGTATTATTAATGCTGACAAAACCCAGTTGATAAAAAAAAAAATCTGGTTATTGCCCCATATAGCATTTCTTCCCGCAGCATTTCTTTAACAAAGGTGTTAATAATAGATAATTGGTCCTCCTTCTTCTGGCATAACAGCTTCCACTTTTCTGGAAAGGCTTTTCACTTTTTGCTGGAACATGGTTGTGGGGATTTTCTCCCATTCAGAGAGAAAAAAAAAGCATCAGCGATGGGGCCTGGCTTATTGTTCCAGTTCATCCCAAATGTGTTCAGTGGGATTCTGGTCTGGGCTTTGTATAGGCCAGTCAAGTTCTTCCACACCAGTAAACCATTTCTTTACAGACCTCACATTGTACACAAGGGGCATTATCATGCTGGAAAAGAAAAAGGCCTTTCTCAAACTGTTGCCAAAAAAGTTGGAAGCACACAATTCTCTATACTGTCGTTTTATGGTGTAGCATTAAGATGTGTCTTTACCGGAATTAAGGGGCCCGGCCAAAGCCATTAATTAGAAGGGAGTCCGCAACTCTGTGAACTTTTGGCTACATGTTTGAGGAATAAACTACCTGATGTTTTTAGAGCCATTAAATCAACACATTGTTGAAGATGTTATTTAAAAAATGATGTGATAAATAAATAAATGAATAGATGAACGGACGAACGAATAAATAAATACATAAATAAATAAACGAATGAATACACAAATGAATGAATAAGTAAGTTAATAAATAAATACACAAACAAACAAATAAATAAACATTCATTACTTTTAATGGATGTGTTCATCTATAGTCGGGTCCAGAGTTGTTCAGATAAAATAATGAATGTCATGTTTAAACAATGAAAATTAATTTATAATAATACTAATATCTTTTATTTATCTTCTTTGAGGCTTAAATTTGACAAATATCAATATCAAAATGCTGTTTAACTGTCCTTGGTAAGTAATAAGAAAAAAATGTTATTACATTGCTAAAAGCCTTAAAAAGCCATCCTTGATTCATCCTTGAATTCACAGAGCATCACATCAGAACTTTTGTTGGAAAGATTAAATTAGATAAATTAGATTAAATAAAAATGTTATGAATAAATAAACAAATAAACAAACAAACATCTATTTACTTAAATGGATGTGTTCATCTAGAGACAGATCCACAGAATATCACATAAATAATGAATGTAATGTTAAAACAAGTAAAAATAATGTATAAAAGTACTTAAATCTTTTATTTATTCTTCATGAGGCTTAAATCTGACAAATTCAATATCAAAATGCTGTTTAACTGTCCTTCGTAGGTAGTAAGAAATAAATGTTTGAACGCCTTAAAAAGCCATCTTTAAAAATCCACATAGCATCACATCAGAACTTTTGCTGGAAAATGTTCTAAAAAAAACATTATAAACAAACAAACAAACAAACAAACATGCATTACCTCAAATGGTTGTATTAATCCAGAGACGGGTCCACAGAATTTCACATAAATAATGAATGTAATGATTAAACAATGAAATTTGTAATAATACTTATATATATATAATAATAATACTAATATATTTTATTTATTCTTTGTGAGATTTAAATTTGACAAATATCAATAACAAAATGCTGTTTAACTGTCTTTGGTAAGTAATAAGAAATGAATTGCTGAAAGCATTAAAAAGCCATTCTTGAAAATTGACTTTTGTTGCAAATGTTCTAAAAAATAAAGTTTAATTTAATTTAATTTAGTTTAGTGAGCTAATTCAAATAAATAAATTAATTAAAAATAAATAAATAAATAAATGAAATAAATAAATAAATAAATAAATAAATAAATAAATAAATAAATAAATAAATAAATAAATAAATAAATAATAACAGTAAAATAAAAAACAAAACAAAAAATAAAAAATAAATAAATAAATAAACAAATGAACGAACGAACGACCGAGAAAATCATGTATTACCTTGATTGGACATGGTGAAAATTATCTAATTTAATTTAGTTTATTTAACTTTATTTATTTAATTTATTTGTTTTAATTTAAGATAATTTCATTTTATGATTGAAGGAATAAATAGATGAATAAGTTAAAATAAATGAATGAATTAAAATAAACAAACAAACAAACAAACAAACAAACAAATAAATAAATAAATAAATAAATAAATAAATAAATAAATAAATAAATAAATAAATAGCAACTTAGAGTATACATTTTTAAACTCAATACAGTTTGCAGTTTATTTGTCTCTGACACTTCTGTCTTTTTTCCTCTCACAGTTGGCCTGCTCCATAATCGCAGGGATACTGCATTACTTCTTTTTGGCGTCCTTTGCCTGGATGTGTCTGGAAGGAGTTCAGCTGTATCTGATGCTGGTGGAGGTCTTTGAGAGTGAATATTCACGCAGGAAATATTTCTACATGGCAGGATACCTTCTCCCCGCTGTGGTTGTGGGAGTGTCTGCTGCTGTAGACTTCAGGAGCTACGGGACTAAGAAAGCGTAAGTAAACGTTTCTTTGATTTCCTTTCTTTTTTTTCTGTCTATAGAAGTGTACCACAAATCTTATCGGTTCCATAGGTACGGCACACACACACATAGACACACAGCAAGTCTTCAGAGGCTGCCTTACAGTACAAAATGTGGTTTCCAGGCAGGGCTGCATGCGTTAGTGTCTTTTGTTCAAAGAGTCTCTGGTGACCTGTTGTTTGTAAATGCTCTCTAACGGAGACGAGGGCCGCATGAGAAAGAGGCTTTTACGCAGATTAATGGTAGTGCTTCAGCTCTGCATGGGCTCTTGGGTTGCTCCTTATAACACATAAACAGGTGGAAGTGTGGCAGCTTCACGCCACGTCACTGTCTTTTAATATTGAGCACCGAAATCTGCTTTAGGTATGTTTATATTGGTATGAAAGCGATGCGTTTGTCTCAGATGAGTTTACGGTTTGCGAGAGAGCTGCAACATTGACAATTTATATGATCAGTGATTCTTGCTGGAAGTCGCACTCTAGAGAAACTGGATCTGTTACAGGAAATTACTGTCTTTGAGCAGCGTTTAATAAACTAATGCGGAATCCGCCCATAGAAAAGCTCTGCAACGGAACCCACACAAAACTGTCTCGGTAACAGATACCAAGTCCTCGGTGTGAATGTTTGTTGGCAGGGTTTGCAAAGGAAAGCATCTCTAATATGATTGCTCATACTTAAGGTGCATAATCGTAACCCAAAGGCCCAAAATAAATGCATGAATGAAAAGAAAACCTATTTGATTTCATGCTTTGTTACATTACTTGATTTATCCTAGAACAGCGCAGACCAAAATGTAAGGAGCTGCTTGTTAAAGGTTCAAGAAACACTCAAGTACTTTTTTTGAGATTTTAACAGATGTGTGTGTGTGTGTGTGTCGAGCATCAGTTAAGACAATGTTGACACCTGTCAGCTTTAATTGTGGGGAAAACTGGATAATTTTGAGCTTTTGTCAGCTAATTTCAGCTTCTGGGTTTAAAATGATTTTTGGGATGGGATCAAAATCGGTGACGTAGCACAAAACTGCAAGTGCTAAGATGACGCGTTGGTTTCTCATTATTAATCATAGTGGAGTTTTCTTATCCTATGAGAAGAGCCGGCTTCTTAATTGTTCATGACTGCTCGTGCTTTCCGAAGGCAAGACACAGACTTGCCAGTGCCAAGTTGTGAGATCCTGCCATGATGACTGGGTGAAACCGCATCCACGGACCCATGGCACACAATATATAGTCGTTCATGAAGAGTCGTATGTGTTTGTTTCCATGATCCACGAGTCGGTTTGTTGCATGTTTTTCCTCGCGATGCTGTCAGGGCCGATACAGGAAAGTTGTTTGCGTGCAAGCATTTTTGTCGGGAGAGCAGTATTAGCATTGGAGAATGGCAGACGTTGTCTTTTATCAGGAGTTTTTTCACATCGCTGCGCTGCTGTGTCTGCCTAAATCCTCCAGATTACCAGGGCTAATGGTTAAAATAGACAGGACAGGAGACCTGCTGCACTGAGTTTGCATTCAGACCCGGGGATTGAGGGAGAAGTCCACGTTTATAGTGTTTATATGAAGTCGATTATCTTTACAATTGTATAAATTGTGGCTGTGTGTATGGAATTACGAATAGCAAATGTAGCAGAGCATTAAATTACTGTTTATTTCTTTGCATTTTAACTTTGTAAACTATAAAATCATGCGTCTCCTCACTGTTTGTGTCTCATTTTGTGAGCCGACTGACAACAGTTGTTCACTCCCCTCCTTCTCCCCTGCTCTGCTGGCCACGCCCAGTCCTGCCCTTTGCTGGCAGAGCTCCACGCCCGTTATGATGCATCTTTTGAAAAAATTCAGAGGTAGACCTAAATCGAAAGTGTGGGGGTGTCATGACTTTTCAATTCTGGCATAATAAGTCACTTTTTTAGATGCCAAAAGCAAACAACAAAAATTGTTAAAAATACATGTTAATTAAACGTTTTTTTAATTATTATTATTATCTGTTTTTGTTTTGTATATTTACAGTTATGAATTGTTGTAAATCACTGCTCTGTCAACTTATGATGCTAAAAATTCAACTCTGCAGTTTTAATGTGACTTTTATTGACATTTTAGTAGTTCGAAACAATATATTGTATTAGAAATAATGTATTGATAATTAAGTTCGCAAAATAACAGAAGAGGTACTGGCAGCTTATTACCAGGTTTTTGTATCATAATTTACAAGACCAGCCCCGACAATATATCACTTCAAACTATTAAAGATGCAAGAAAAAGCTACTTTTTCAAACTTTTCAACATTAAAAGTTGTTGAAGGAAATGTTAAGGTCCCATAATGCAGTTCATAAGCATTACAAAAAGACATGGATTTGGAAAACTGTTAATTTACAAATACTTCTTACAGTATATGCTGTAATGCTACCAAAAAAAGCTTTTATTGCCAAACTAAATCTCAGATGACCAGGCTGTGATTCACGGTTTTCAATTGGTAAAATATTGGTAACTACCCAGCAGGGACAGGACATCAACATGACATCAGATTGACTACAATGTTGTGGGGACATTGCATTCTGTTTGTAAATAAAAATTTGGTTGACATCAGAACCTGTCAGGCCTGTCAGGCCTAAAATCAACCAAATATCAATGCCTAATGATGTTACAGTTTGACGTTGTGTGGATGTTACCACTATGACGTCTATCAGAAATTGGATTTTAATTGCCATACCTGATGAATAAATGTCAGTATTTGACGTCAATATGACGTTGGTTTAAGATGTTGGATTGATGTTGGATTTTGATCACTTTTCAACACAGCCTAAACTCAACCAAATATCAACGTCTTATGGTGTTAGAGTTTGACGTTGTGTGAACGTTACCACTATGACGTCTATCAGACGTTGAATTTTAACTGCCACACCTGACGAAGAAATATCAGTATTTGACATAAATACTTTTCAAAACAGCCTAAAATCAACCAAATATCAACATTTAATGATGTTACAGCTTGGTGTTTTGTGGACATTAACACAATGACGTCTATTAGATGTTGGATTATGGTTGCCATACCTGACAAATAAATGGCAGTATTTGACATCAATATGACGTTTGTTTAAGATGTTGGCTCGATGTTGGATTTTGGTTGCTTTCCAACACAACCTAATATCAACAAAATATCAACTTCTAATTATGTTTCAGCTTGACGTTGCGTGGATGTTACCACTATGACATCTATCAGACATTGGATTTCGGTTGCCATACCTGACAAATAAATGTCAGTATTCAAAATGATGTTGGTTTAAGATGTTGGATTTTAATCACTTTCAAACACAACCGAAAATCAACCAAATATCAACATCATTTGACATCGTTATTGGACATCTAAATAACGTTTTTCTAATGTTGCCTAGACTTTGAATTTTTGTACCCTGACTTCACAACCTAAATCTAATCTAATAATAATGTTTTATGACGTTGTGTGCTTGATAGGTATCTACAGATTTTTTATTAATGTTTTTAATTGAAAGTTGTATATACAGGACTGATTTATTTTGTGACACAATAAAAAATGTTTTTCTTTTTTCAGAAATATATTATTAAATGAGCTAAAACCAGAATTACCATTGGTGTAGCTTTTTTATGCCAGAGGCAACTCTGGCACTCAAAAGGTCTGAAAAATAATGCCATGATTGCAGTTTTTCTTTTGGACATGTAATTACATGGCTTGATTTGTTTTTTGAAGGATTTTGTTAATGATATGAAATAGCCTATTTAGCTTATAAACGCTTGTGTGTGTGAACACAGAACATTTTGCGAAGCAAGGTTTTTTTTTTCTGCCTTAAATAACAAAATTGTAATGGTTGGATACATTCTGCAATCTGCCTTGTTGCATTTCTTTGACTGAGTATTTGGTCTTTGCAGATGCTGGCTCAGGATGGACAATCACTTCATCTGGAGTTTCATTGGACCCGTCACCTTCATTATTATGGTGTGTTCAGCGTCTTCTGACCTTTTATTACCTGTCAAAGATTGTATGTGACATGTACATGTGTGTGGGATTGAATGCTGCATTTGTCAGGTGAAAGAACAAGAATATTTCTGTGCACGCAAGAACGCCTCTCTCAGTTCAAAGAGTAATTGACAGAATCCTCCCGTGCAAAAACATTGAGCTGCCTTTGTTTCTTGAGTCTTATTCAACAGATTGCAGCTCATCGATTTCTGCTTAGATCGGTTCAGTCTAGGCAGACCCAGTCGATGCAGCCCACAGAGAGGTTCGGAAATGCTGCTCTTAAGTTTTTTTTTTCTTTTTCTTCTTTTCTAAGGGATCGTTTTGATATGATGCAGCTTTTCAGTGTGGCATTACAGCACAGCATCATCTTCAAATGATACTCGGCAGGGTAGTTTCAAGATATGGGGTCGAGACAGCCCCTCAGGATGCAAATAAAAAAAGAGCAAGAATTCGAAAATCAAGTCAAAAATGCGTAAATTTATAATGTAACTTTTTAAATAGGTAGCTGATGTTTACCATGAGATGTCGGGCAGAATACACACAGGACTGACACAGCTGTATCATGCTGTTATTTGCAAAATAAGAGATTAGAGTTTGGGAGGTTAAAAGGAAGTAGGCCTGAGAGAGAGGCAAAGATAGAGACAGACTGCGTGATGGAAAGACTAGCAGGTGGCATTGACATATGTCTGGCTGTGTGTTTGCCCTCTAATCTCTGGATAAAAAAAATAAAAACTATTGTCTTGACTCTGTAATATCCTTTATGGTTGTATCAACAGACCAGGTGATCTTCCTGCCAGGGGGAACAGTGAGGGAAGCTTTTTATTGAAAAGACTTTCATGTTTTAGCTGAAAATAGATTTAGAAACACAGAAATAGTTCAAATATTGGTTTGTGCTGTAATAAAATGTAGAAAGTAAGTGGTCAATTATTGAAGAGGAAACTCTACTAACTAAATAATATACTTACTAATAAATACTAATAATAAACAAACAAACAAACAAGCAGTTATTTAATGTTTTATAATTAGTTATTAAATGTTTTAATAACTCTTTTTAAATAACTGATTTATTTTATCTTTGCCCTGATGACATTAATAATATTTTACTAGATATTTTTCAAGATACTAGTATTCAGCTTAAAGTGACATTTAAAGTCTTAACTGTGTTAACTAGGTTAACTGGGCAGGTTAGGGTATTTAGGCAAGTTATTGCATAACGATGGTTTGTTCTGTAGACTATCCAATAAAAAATAGCATAAAGGGGCTAAAAAGTTTGACCTTAAAAGGATTTTCAAAAATTTAAAAACTGCTTTTATTCTAGCCGAAATAAAGCAAATAAAACTTTCTTTTAAAGAAAAAATATTATCAGACATACTGTGAAAATTTCCTTGCTCTGTTAAGTGACGTTTATTTCTAAACAAATTTCAAGAAGATCACATGCTTGGGATTGTTCTCAGCTTTTCCAGCATAAGCTCGTGATCGATTATCCAATCAGATGATTCCTAATTCACTATAAATAACCAAAATTGATACCATAGTCAAGCTCTCAGCGAGTACACATCTCCTCTGTCATCCATATCCATCACTAGCTAGAAATAAGCTGGGGGGAGTTCATTGAGATCTTCCTGAGCTCAAACTCTCCTCTCACCCTGCAAACGGGAGGGAGCCCTGGGCTCGAGGATCTCATAAGGGACAGCATGATCTCTCTCCTGGGACAGCATGCTAAACAAGCTTTTATTATCAATCATCAGCTAAGTTGGAACTCTTTAAAAAAGAAAAAAAAATCAAAGGGGGGCTTCTGACTTTAACAGTATATATATATATATATATATATATATATAATGAATTCACATTTACATTTAGTTTAGCATTATATTAATTAATCTGTGAACGTAGGTGCTTTTGAAGCATTAATAATATTTGTAAGCTGTAAATAAACATTAAAAGTTCTTATATTTTGTGATCACACAGTTATTTTTCTGTTTATTTACAGTTATTAATTATATCATGAGACCTTAATCTTTGCTCTGTCAAATTTTGCACACTGAGTTCCTTTTTTTGAAATTGGAATGTCTTTATTGTCCCCAAAGGGCAATTAAGTTTACAGCAAAAGCCGACAGTTAACAGCAACAGATCACACTTGACAACATAGAAGTAACAGTAAAAAATAAAATAGACATAGCCCTCTTTATAATTCTTACCTCATTTACGTGTCCTATAGTGTTGAGATTTGTGCCCAAAATCTTTTGAGATAGTGTAACAATTTTTGAAAGTCTGTTTTTACTTGTCATCCTCAAATTTTTGCTGACATTTTGGTGGTTTGAAAAATATTTTGTATGGGGAAAAAATGAATGTAGTCCATAAACAAAATTCAGTTTTGTTTTGTAATGTAATTTTGCAATGTAATATTTTGTTTTTTAATGTAATATTACAACCCAGACTCTACACTGAAAAAAGTGTTGTATGCAGAACTGTTGCAAACAATTTATTTGTGTTGAATTTAAACAAACAAATTAAATTTAATAATGTTCAACTTAATTTGTTAGTTAAAATTTAGCCCAAATAAATTGTTTACAACCACTTAACGTAAAAAAAAATTGTAAATCCAGGGAATCATCTTTGAATATTTTTTTTTTCCTGTGTATATCAATTCAAGAAAAGTTGTTTTTCTTAAGTTGATAAGGCAAATCAGAAGCATAATAAAACAAAATAGGCCATGAATCACAAAATAAACAAATAAACAAAGTGTTAATTTACGGTTATTTTTACATTGCAATATAACGTCACTCAGCTGGACAAAAAGGCTGACAGGCTTTGAAATATTGCGAACAAAGCATATTTTTTGCTGCTACTTTTAGAGAAAGTCCCACAAACCCTGAGATTTTCTGGTGTAATCGCCGCAGCACTGCATGAGACGTGATGTATGTGTTTATGGTGTTGCTGATAATCAGAATACACGTTCCAGTCATCAGCGGCAGGAAGCTTGTGACCCTTTATGAAGCTGATTTATTGTTGCATACTCTGCTCGGACAGCAAGCAGGGCTCATAGTCCTTAGGCTGCTTGACAATGCTAGATAAAGCACAAAGACCAGAGCCTCTCAGGGGAACGCGAGACCAAGGTTTCCCCTGACCTTTGACCCTTGATTCTCAGCAGACTGGCTTTGTCCTTGTCAATGAGAGAGCCAGAGCGAGTCTCATTATTCAGAGTTTCACCCATTTTGCTGTGCAGAGGGAAAGAATGGTGCGATCCTGTTCAATTAGTTGAAGCCCATTGTGGTTCTCATTATTCTACATCTATTTTCAGCATCCTCATGCCAGTTGCTACTGCGATGTAGAACTCTGTGATTTTCACAGCTAATCTAGTACCTTTTTCCACCAATAGGGCACTCGACTCAGTGTCTAATATGGGAGTGTTGTGCACTTTACCACCATAGAAAAGTCAGAAACATCAACCTGACATCTAAAATTGCTGATTTTGGTTAGCAAAATGGCAGTTTGGGAAACAAATGTTCATTAAATGGATTGTTTTTTTTTCAAAATCACATATTTAACCCTAGCTTAAAACTAACCAATCACATTAACTTGAGATAAATACACATCTTGCTATCTTATGGCATTTTTACTTGACTTCAATACACATGTCATTCATTTACACAACTCAAACTTCATCATGCACTCATTGGTCTTTCAGTCTATATGCATTCCTGAGTACTTTACAACTAAAACAACAATGTAGACTACAAAAATGTTTGCAGAGGTGTAGAGTACTTCCTCACAAGTTGCCAATTCCAACTACTGGCCTAGGATGCATATTGGGTGTTTAGATGTTTTGCGGGTCTCTGTGAATAGGGATTATTTTGATATGGTTGCCATTTTACATGAACTTGTTTTGCATATATATATATGTGTGTGTGAAGTTTATTTATAAACTAATTTCGAAAGGATCACATGCTTATGATTGTTCACGGCTAGTCCTGCATCAGCTTACGATTGATTCACCAATCAGATGATTCCCAACTCACTATAAATAGCCAGAGTTCCTTATCTCAGTATCTTCGTCCAAAAGAATCCCTCCCCCCCCTAGATGGGCGACACGGCGGCCCAGTGATTAGCACATTTGCCTCACAGCAAGAATGTCTCTGGTTAAAGTCCCTACTAAACCACTTGACATTTCTGTGCGGAGTTTGCTCGTTCTTCCCGTGCTCGCATGGGTTTTCCCCGGGTTGTCCAGTTTCCTCCCACAGTCCAAAAAGCATGCAACATAAGTAAATTAAACATTCCAAATTGACACTATAGGCAAGCTCTTAGCAATCCGTATATTTCTCCTAAGCCATCCATATATCTGTCATTAGCCAGAAATAAGTTGGGGGAGTTCATCAAGATCTACCTGAGCTCAAACTCTCCTCTCGCCCTGCAAACGTGATGGAGCCTAGGGCTCAAGGATCTCATGTACATAAGTATTACCAGCCTTTGCCGTGAAGCTCTAAATTGAGCTCAGGTACATTCTGTTTCCACTGATCATTCTTGAGATGTTTTAGGAGCTTAATTGGTTCACTTGTGGAAAATTCAGTTGATTGGACATGATTGGAAAAGGCATACACTTGTCTATTTAAGGTCCCACAAACTAAGCATGAAGACCAAGGAATTGTCTGTAGAGCTGGCCGGCCATCTAAGCTGAGTGATCTAGGAGAAAGGGCCTTAGTCAGGGATATAACCCGATGGTCACTCTGTCTGAGCTCCAGCATTCTTCTATGGAGAGAGGAGAACCTTACAGAAGGACAACCATCTGTGCAGCAATCCACCAATCAGGCTTGCATGGTAGAGTAACCCGATGGAAGCCAATCCCTGTCTGGAAATATTAAACTCTCAGACCATAAGAAACAAAATTCTCTGGTCTTATGAGACTAAAATTGAACTCTTTGGAGTGAATGCCAGGCGTTACGTTTGGACAAAACCAGGCAACGCTCATCACCAGGCAAATTTATCACTACAGAGAAGCATGGTGGTGGCAGCATCACGCTGTAGGGATGTTTAGCAGCAGGAACTGGAAGACTAGTCAGGATAGAGGGAAAGATGATTGCAGAATATCCAAAATATCAATGGAGTGGATTCACAACAACTTGGCGAATGTCCTTGAGTGGCCCAGCTAGAGCCCAGACCTAAATCCTATTGAACATCTCTGAAGAGATCTGAAAATAGCTGTACGCTGTCGCTTATCATTCAACCTGATAGAGCTTGAGAGGTACTCCAAAGAGGAATGGGCAAAAATTTCCCAAAGACAGGTGTGCCAAGCATGTAGCATCATATTCAAGAAGTCTAGATGTGCAGTGACTGGAGTTCGGCAGAAAAGGCTGCAGCAGAAGAACAACTTATCAGCCATTCACAAAGAATGCGTCTTTGTGTCTGAAAATGCGAGATGCGGCACTTAGCAGCCACTCCATGTTGCTGTCATATCAACTCAGTACATAGAAGCTCAACACTTACCCCGCCTCTGAGTTCTTCTGATTAGTCCACTGCTGTGGAACTGACATTAATGAATGCCATTGTGTGGAAAAGTTTAACCTATTTTGTCTTGGCTGTGTTTTATTCATCTGAAAATGTGGTACTCATGTGCAAAGTGCTCCATAAATGTGAATGTACAGTATAACACATGTCCGTCAACCGCGTTTACAAAACAATGGGAATATAGAATATACAGTTGAAGTCAGAATTATTAGCCCCCCTGATTTATTAGCGCCCCTGTTTATTTTTTCCCCAATTTCTGTTTTATGGAGGGAAGATTGTTTCAGCACATTTCTAAGCATAATAGTTTTAAAAACTCATTTCTAATAACTGATTTATTTTATCTTTGACATGATGACAGTGAATAATATTTTACTAGATATTTTTCTAGACACTTGATCACTAGACACTTCTATACAGCTTAAAGTGACATTTAAAGGCATAACTAGGTTAATAAGGTAAACTACGCAGGTAGGGTAATTAGGCAAGTTATTGTATAACGATGGTTTGTTCTATGGATTATCGAAAAAAAAATTAGCTTAAAGGGGTTAATAATTTTGTCCCAAAAATATTTTTTAAAAATTAATAACTGCTTTTATTCTAGCCGAAATAAAACAAATAATACTTTCTCCAGAAGAAAAAATATTATCAGACATACTCTGAAAATGTCCTTGCTCTGTTAAAAATAATTTGGGAAATATTTAATAAAATCTAATCAAATCAAAAGAGGGCTAGTAATTCTGACTTCAACTGTTTATAAAAATAAATATGGAGTTCATTATTTTCACACACGCACAGTATTTAACAAGAGTGTCCATTGCACCAGCTTTTATGAATGAACCTCCAGTCAGTGCTAGCATTTTCATTAAAAAAGATTTCTGTTTTGAAGCCTACTGAATCTATATGCACAATTACTGTTCTTCTGTTCTTAGGAGAGAGTTGGGCTCAACCTTTGAAAGTTTAATACGCAGTCTAATTATAAAGTTTTAGTTTCCATTATTCTGTTTATTCTGTACTTTTGCATCCCAAGTAGCTTTTCAGTTGTGTAGCTGATTGTGACAAAACACTTCTGCTTGTTCAAAATAATCAGAAAGCAAGCACTGGGGATTTGGTATTATTCCTGTTGTACCATAGCCATAGCGAACTGAACCGTGACCCCAAAACTGAGGTGAAAGTTTTATTTTTAAGTGCAGAACTATGGCAGATGAGCTAACAAGCCAGTTAATCATCATTTGTACAGGGGGAAAAGTTGTTGGCGTTTACTGCTGCCTCTGGTGTTTGTTTCAGATGCATCAAAAGCAGCAGAAACAATGGAATAACAACTCAAAATTAAGTCTAATGCTTGTCCTCATTGCTGTGTTTGTTTATCAACACATTATATTGTAACATGTTTTGTTGCATCATCATATCGCTCTTGTAAGATTGTAAAAACCTGGTGGAAAATGTGGGTAGTGGCAAATCCACCAGCCAACACTGCCTCAGAGAACCACCACCGTTTCGGTAGAAAAGAGCTTTCTTGGCTCTGAGGCACCAGGCATATAAGATCCATGAAAACCAGGACATTGAGCTAATGAGTGGTCGGGAACCATTAGTGCGTATGAGTGACGTTAAAACACGCTTGGACTGTGACAAGTTTGCATCATGCAGACAGTTCCATCTGCACCTTAAATATTTAATCTGGTTCAATCGGAGTTCAAGGCGCACACACAGACATGCGAACACACGCATACCGCTTTCTCCAGCATCCCAGAGTGGAGTTGAGGGTCTTCTGCTTGGCTAGCGGTGATGATTCAGGGATGAGGGGGTTTGTTCAGGAAAAGCTCTTTCCGAAGCAGAGGAAGCCCATGGGACATGGAGGAACAAGGAGCTTTAGGAGTGTAGTGGCTGCTTTGCTAGGTTACCTCTCCCTCTGCAGAGCGTCCTCACTTCCTCTCGTCTCATCAGATCACTGTCAGCGCTCTGGCGGCGTGAGAGGCCTTTTATAGCTCTGTGTTCATAAATTCGGGCGCATGGGCCACAAGAAAAAAAAAACAAAAAAACACAGGCATAACCCCAGCATGCCTCTCTCTCCCTCCCTCCTTCCATGGTGTCTCTGAGAAAAACCGTGGCGCTTGATTGCACGAGCAGCACGTTATTGATCGCCATCGCTGTTTTGATGGCAGAATGATGAGCTTCTGCGCCCGAACAAGGAGGCGAACTGAAGAGCTTGTTTGAGCTGGTGACACCGCCACTTATGAGAGCGGCCGCAAATGATAGACTGCTCCGTCCTCGCCTGTCTGTGCTCCAGAAAATGGATTAGACCAGAAAATGTTCCGTCACCACATAGTTGTACCACACAGTTGTAGCTATTAGGAAGTCATTTTACACACTATGTGATAAAGTATGACCAATGTAGGTTGCTACAAGGTCCCTCTCACACTGTGTGTATGAATGTACATCTTCAGTGTCTCTGGATCTTCTAAGATTCACAAATTAGGTCTTTTTCTTTTTTTACATTCGATCGTTAATCTTTTTATTTGCTGACTGGATAAAATGTATTACCCAAGATCCACATGTCTAACAGCAGCTAATGTAACATGTCAAACCAACAACAACAATAATAGCTTTAGAAATTGATGTTTTAACTATTGGATGGATGGATGGATGGATGGATGGATGGATGGATGGATGGATGGATGGATGGATGGAAGGATGGATGGATGGATGGATGGATGGATGGATGGATGGATAGATAGATAGATAGATAGATAGATAGATAGATAGATAGATAGATAGATAGATAGATAGATAGATAGATAGATAGATAGATAGATAGATAGATAGATAGATAGATAGATAGATAGATAGATAGATAGATAGATAGATAATTATTCTGTCTATTTTCATCTACAATGTGTAATATTTTAATGATAGATAGATATGCAAGGCAGATACAAATGCATATGCATTACAAGAATGGTCAGACAACCAGTGGTCAACACAGGGACAAACAGGTGTATACAGGCAAATCCAGAGTCGTGGTCATGAAACGGGCGAAGGGCCAAAAGGCAGGCAGCAGACAATGTAAATATACAAACAAAACAAAGCAAGGGTCAAACACAGAAAAGGCAAGACAAATGAAACGAACAGGTAAACAAGACTCAAAAACTAGTGTATGTGTGTTTATGCTGCTTTTAAAGTCCATGTCATCAGTTCTGAGCAGTTTCAGCTGTGTGTGTCAGCAATAAGCAGACAACCAGAACAGGTGTGAGTATGTGGTGCATGACTGGATCTGTAGTTCATGTAACGATAGATAGATAGATAGATAGATAGATAGATAGATAGATAGATAGATAGATAGATAGATAGATAGATAGATAGATAGATAGATAGATAGATAGATAGATAGATAGATAGATAGATAGATAGATAGATAGATAGATAGATAGATAGATAGATAGATAGATAGATAGATAGATAGATAGATAGATAGATAGATAGATAGATAGATAGATTGATTGATTGATTGATTGATTTCCTGCTGAAGCGTCCACTGTGAGTATAACACTGTAAGTATGCATTTTCAGTTCATTTTTACAAACAGAGGAATGTTTTCCCTCTGACGTTTCACCTCAAATGCGGTCTGCAAATGTTTGTATATAAAATAACTCTGGATATTTCTTGAAGTCTTTTTCCCCCTGAGGAAATATCAAATATCCGTTTCTCCGTGTGTGGCCTTGGAGCGTCTCTGAACTATTTGTGTTTTCATTCAGCAGTTAAACTGTTTTATTGCATTTTTGTATTCATGTATTGATATATAGTGACAGTGTATTTGGCGCCAGTCATCTTGGCTTTGTCTCACAATATGCCAGATGGTTATTGTATTAGGCACTGGCTGAAGGGATGCTTGGATGGCTGTTTTCAATTAATGCTCCCAATAAAACTTCACTTATCTAATCTTTTAAGTTTCCTTTTTGTTTATTAACAAAGGTCTTTTGCTTTCCCACAGCTCAATCTCATCTTCCTGCTCATCACGATGTACAAAATGATGAAACACTCTACATCGCTGAAACCCGATTCCAGCCGGCTGGAGCACATCAAGTAAGTCGCATTGTTTTTCCCCCACAATATTTCAGCTCATGTGGAGTGGAAGTGTGCCGCCACACACCAAGAAGTAGCATTTCTAATCTAAAATGTAGAACGGGAACAGACATTGTGCCTTGCTTACATTGTAGCATCTACAAAACTGTCGTTCTTGCTTGAATGGATTTAAGGGCCTTGACTGAAGGGATTCAGATGGACTCCAGACAGATGTTATTCTCTTCAGGTGCACGGCGTCTATTAATGTGAGCGATGGCCAGAGAGGCACGTAATGATTGAGACAGGCTCAGCGCTGTTCCTCCTTTACAGTGACCGCAAAACTCTTTTTTGGAACAGCTTACTGTATTCAGAGTCTGCCTACAGAGCGAATTCAGATGTGTTTGTGTGTGTGTGTAAAGACAGCACAGTGAAAGCACTACCATGTGTTTCCTGTTGCAAAGAGGGAGATCTCTAAGACGGAAAAGTAAAGAAAAAGTCTGTTGGTTGACCATGTAACCCTTTGGTTCTGTTTGCTGGCATGGCAATGCATGTCAGGCTGGTTCTGTTTGATAATGTATGACATATGTGATATGCAATTTTTTTAACAATGTTGTTTATATGTTTTTTATCTTTTCCAATAATTCTGGATCTTTCTACAGACATTCCTGTAAAAGTGTTAGAAGTCAATCTTAAAATATAAGTAGTATATTAGTGTAACCCTGTTAGTCCTACACTACCCAACCAGCTCTGAGCGGGGATTGTACCGGTGACTCTTCGCATGGGAGTCGGTTGCTCTAATAAGGAGGCTAAAGACCATGACCTCTAGCATCTGTCGCTAGAGCACCTTTTCAGGTCCAGAGGAGTGAGGTTTACCTGCAAAGCACTTTACTAGCTGGCCTCTGTTACATTTACCCGCCTAAACCTCATTCCCATCAGGGTGACGGCACCAATGTAACCCAACCGGTCCTGTACCATTCAACCCACTCCAAGCTGGAATCGAACCGGTAACTTTCTGCATGGGAGTCGGTTGCTCTAACAAGGATGCCAAAGGCCATGGTCTCTAGAGTGTCACTAGAGCACCTTTTCAGGTCCAGAGGACTTATGTTTACCTGCACAGCACTTTACTAGCTGGCCTCTGTTACACTCACCCTCTAAACCTCACTCTCATCCGGGTCATGGAACCAATGTAACCCATCCGGTCCTACACCACCCAACCCGCTCCGAGCTGGGATTAAACCAGCGACTCTTCGCATAGGAGTCAATTGCTCTAACAAGGAGGCTAAAGACCATGACCTCTAACATCTGTCGCTAGAGCACCTTTTCAGGTTCAGAGGAGTGAGGTTTACCTGATTAGCACTTCACTAAATGGCCTCTGTTACATTAGCCTAACCGATTTAATCACTTTTTTTCCCTTGCAGTTTGACAGTGACTATTTTACTCTTTAGACCGCCTGAACATGATATTGTGTTGGTTAAATTGTTTTTTTACTTGGTCACATTGGAGACCGGCGGGAAACATAATTGAACTGGAATTCAATTGATTTTAATTGTTAACGATCTAAGATCACCAGCTACAACTGTGACCATTAAGACATGTTCACCTCTTCACATCTTTCAGATGTGCAAGCAGGAAGTATGTAAACTGATCTTGGGTGCATTTCCTAAACAACGACATGCGGCTGAACTAATACAATGCATCGTTTCAGAAATGAATGATGTTGTGACAATTCCCAGGTAGCAAAGAATTCTGGCCCAGAATTGGCATTAATCTGGCACAGCAGGTATTCATCCGGCACTGGAATACAGCATGTGGCCCAAACATGGCCCAGGTTTGACAGAAGTGGCACCGTTTTTAAGGCAACACATAGTATTTGGGCCAGATGTCAAATGTAGTATTTGGCCTAGATGTTAAAAATTGATATGCGGGTCATGTAAGTTTGGCCTGTCGTGACCCACTTTTAAAATAGATTTTTATTATTTTTGAATAAAGAAATAATTTTTTTACCAATCATGAAGTTGCTTCAAGAAAAAGCACACCTAAAGCGCAATGATTTATTGGTTTATCGATTTCATTGCACTTGTGACACACCGACATATCTGGCACAGTTCAGGCTCCATTGGGTCTGGAAGCCAGACTTGGTCAGGTCATGTACCGTAATTCACTGCAGTATGTGGGCCAAGCAAAAGCTGATTGTGTGGGCCAGAGCTGGGCTAGAGAGATTTTGCTATGTGGGTAGTTTTTCAAAACCAAAGTTGCTTTGTCGTAGATCCATCGTTTAAACCACATCACGTAAAACGTCTATAATGACACTCTAAATGGGGTAGAGTAACTATTTCTTTTGGGAAAAACCTCTTTAATTTTTGTTTTATTTTTGTTAAAGTAGTATTATTTTACTCGCCCATGGAGATGGTTTAAAAATATATTATTATTTGTTTAATCCAGTATGAGTTTTGGTGAACACATGTATTTGTTTTCCTTAATTAAAAAACTTGGGTGAGCAGTACATGTTCAGACAATATTTAATTTATAAACATTTTTGAGAACTGTTCAACTGTGAGCTTTAAATGTGTACACTACCTGACAAAAGTCTTGCTGCCTATACACGTTTTAGGAACAACAAATAATAATTTGACTTCCAGTTGATCATTCGGTATCAGAAGTGGCTTATATGAAAGGCAAAGGCCTCTAGATTACACTTATTTTACCAAAATAAAATAGGATCATGCCTTGATTTTAAATTATTTAATTGGGACAGTAAGGTCTGACTTTGCTTAAACAACAGAATAATAACAGAAATAATGTACAGTATAGAATATAAAGTCATGCTGCTGTGGAAAAAGAATTAATATTGTGTCTGACTCCCATGAGCTTGGAGGACTCAAATAACTTATTAATAAAGTCATCTGGAATGGCAAAGAAAGTGTTCTTGCAGGACTCCCTGGGTTCATCAAGAATCTTTGGATTCATCTTTAATGCCTACTCCTTCATCTTACCCTAGACATGCTCAATAATGTTCATATATGGTGACTGGGCTGGCCAATCATAGAGCACATTGACCTTCTTTGCTTTCAGGAACTTTGATGAGGAGGCTGAAGTATGAGGAGCGCTACCCTGCTGAATTTGCCTTGTCCTGTTATTTGTAATGTAATGAGCAGAACAAAAGTCTTGATACATCAGGCTGTCGATGTTGCCATCCTCTCTGCAGATCTCTAGCACACCCCCATGCTGAATGTATCCCCAAAATATGATTTTTCCTTCACCAAACTTGACTGATTTCTTTGAGAATATTGGGTCCATGTGGGTTCCAATAGGTCTTCTGCAGTATCTGTGATGATTGAGATGCAGTTCAACAGATCATCGGAAAAATCTGCCTTCTGCCACTTTTCCAAATGATCAACTAGAAGTCAAGTTATTACATAATACTCTAACAACAACCTCACAAGATTGCAACACTGTTTGCAAATGTTCATTTAAATAATAGAGTCAGGAAACACTAATTTGCTGAACTATATTTGTAACGATGTGACCTTAGTTGGCTAATGATGGTTTTGGGAAACACATCCCTGATCACGTGACCATATTTTCTTTTTAAAAAGACAATTTCTTGTCCAGAGCTGTCAACACTTTTAGAGCTTTCAGAAATAAGAAATCACAGCCACAATAGTGATGAAAACACATGAAATGTGTCTTCCTTTATAATATATAAGAATGTATAATCTACATATATAATCCTCTACAACATTGTTGCACTTTTATAATATATACTCCGTTCATATAAAGAGTCTTCATATATTTTGGATTTGACTTGTGACACCTATTGCATTTTAATATGATCCTTCAAAGTTAGCACGCAGCCATTGGGGAATCATGCATATTCTGTTAGATTTAACAGAGATATAAACACGGATAACATGCTTGAATAATATGCCCCTCAAAGGCATCGTGTCAGCCATATGTTGTCTAAATTTCTCTTCAGCGATCACAATAGGGCAAGATGAAACAAACTCTGGGCTCAGCATGTTGCATGTTCAGCAAGCTAATGTGCCGCATTTCGTTTCATTTCTCTGTTTCCCATTTCCCCTTGTTTTTCTCTCTCCCTTTTCTTCTTTCTCTGTCCTCTCTCTGTTCTCTTACCCAAACCAGTAATTATCGCGTCTGTGATGGCTATTATAATTCTGATTTGCCTGGGTAAGATTCACTGCACACCGTAACTTATGTCACTCATAAAACATTACTGCCGCATTAAATTGTGCGAAAAGACAAAGCACTGGCACTTTCGGCCTGAGAGAACCATCTTTAGCCTCTTTAGAATCTGGCTTAGGGTAAAGTAGGATGGAGAAATGAAATACTCTTGGATGTCTGTATAGAAAATGGAAGTAAATTTACACAGTGGCAGTAAAGTTTTATAAAAAAAAAAAACACTCTTGTCATGTAATCATCAATATCAAAAGTCATGTGTTAAAGACAGCATGAAATCCAAATCGAAGCTTTCCTTGGAATAAATGTATTATTTAGTGTCCATGTTATTATTAAAGACGGGGGAAATACTAAATTTGTTTCACTTAAGTCTCTCTAGGAATTGTTCACCCCTCAAAAAGTGGTATATAAGTTTAAAATAAGTTTCTTTATTTTGTTAAACACTAAAGAATATATATTTTAAGAAAGCTTAAAAGTGTGACACGGTGGCTCAGTGGTTAGCACTGTCACCTCACACCAAGAAGGTTGCTGGTACGGGCTGGGCCAGTTGGCATTTCCGTGTGGAGGTTACATGTTCTCCCTATGTTCGCATGAGTTTCCTCTGGGTGCTCCGGTTTTCCCTACAGTCCAACAAAATTGGCTTTGTGTGAATGTGAGAGTGTATGGTTGTTTCCCAGTACTGGGTTGCAGCTGGAAAGCCATTCGCTGTGTAAAACATGTGCTGGAATAGTTAGCGGTTCAATTCACTGTGGCGACCTCTGAAATAAAGACTGAAGGCTGATTTATACTTCTGCGTCAATCGCATGCGTATGGTCTGGCGCAGCCTTGGCTGACACCAACGCTGACGCACACCTCTCATAAAATTTAACTACAAATCGCAGAGACACGTAGCGCAAGCTCTGTGATTGGTCGGCTTTGTGTTTATGAGTGTGGCCAAGGCCAAGAGCCATACTCGTTGGATTGAGTATTTATAAGTGTCCAGTCCCATGAAAGAGCTCCAATTGGAAACTATTGTTTTGTGCTTGCCTTATGATTAAAGTTGTTGCACGTCTGTCGCTTCCCACCTCTGAATGAACGAGTTTGAGCTACGTGTACATTAATGTAGCGTACAGAAAAAACAAAACACCCGAGAAGAAACTCGACACAGAGAAACATGATAACCTCAACCTCAATGCCAGCAAGCGTTTCGGAAGTGTTATTGCAGAGCAGCATGAACAGCATGGGTGTATAAATGTATAAATGCACAGCAACATGCAAAGCATGTGCCGTGGGTCATAGCGATTGCTTAATGCAGAGGTATAAACCAGCCTTGAGCTGAAGAAAAATGAATGAAGAATTCTGAAAACCTTTAATCATTGACTTCCATAGTTGGAAAAATAAATACTATAAAACTCAATGGTTATAGCCTTCTTCAAAGTATCTTCTTCAAAGTAACTTTTCTGTTCAATAGAAGAGCGAAAGTCAAACAAGTCTGGAAAAAATACAGCGTTAGTAAATGATCAAAGAATTTTCGGTTTTGGGTGAACTGTTCCTTTAATAAAATCAGCTTACCATAAACCTTATCCTTGCTGTACATTATCTGGTAAATTTATTTATTGATTTCTGTCCAGACTAAAATAAAAACAAATGAGGATAAGGGATTTTAATATACAGTATACCTTTTTGAAGCTTTTAAAAAATTATTTACAGTTTAAGTCAGAATTATTAGCTGGATTTCTTTTTCTTTTTTAAATATTTCCCAAATGATGTTTAACAGAGGAAGTGAATTTTCACAGTACGTTTGATAATATTTTTTTCTTCTGGAGTAAGTCTTATTTTTTTTATTTCGGCTAGAATAAAAGCAGATTTTAATTTTATAAACACCATTTTAAGACGAAAACTATTAGCTCTTTAAGCTATATTTTTTTGTCGATAGTCTCAGAACAAACCATCGTTATACAATGACTTGCCCAAATACCCTATCCTGCCTTGTTAACCTAATTAATCTAGTTAAGCCTTTAAATGTCACTTTCAGCTGTATAGAAGTGTCTTGAAAAATAACTAGTCAAATATTATTTACTGTCATCATGGCAAAGATAAAATAAATCAGTTATTCGAAATGAGTTATTAAAACTATTATGCTTAGAATTGTGTTGAAAAAATCTTCTCAACGTTAAACAGAAATTGGAGGAAAAAATAAACAGGGGGGCTAATACGCTAATTATTCAGGGGGGCTAATAATTCTGACTTCAACTGTATATTGGAAAGTATTACAAAAGTTCCATTGTAAAGTAGTATCATGTTGTCTTTAAAACATGTACATGTTCATTTTATTTGTCTGAAGGCAAAATCTAACAACTTTCTTTCTTGACTCTTAACCTTTTCCCCCTTTCAGACTCATTTGTTGTTTAACTTCAGAGTTCTTGCATTTAGAATTTGAATGCTAATCCAACTGATTTGCCTGATGTAATGTTGTCTCTCTCCTCTGCTGGCCATGCTCTGTAGCTATGAAGATAATAAACCATTTATCAAGTAAGAGCGTTAGCTAGACATCTGTGCCACAGCCTCATGGTTGCTCCCCCTTGTCATTTTATTGTCTGTTTGCTGGGCTCTTTCAGAAGCGCCGTCTCTGTGCCGCTCATCTGCGCTGTCTGTCTGTATATGTCTGTCTGTGGCTTAACTGGTTTCTTAATTTTTATTCCACCTGGACCGTCCTAAAATGCTCTACGTTCGAACTCCATACCCTCATATCCTTTAATTCTTAATAATAATAACAGTTTTTCTACCCTGCTATTCCTCGACTATAACCTTTTACATTATTCCCTCATTCTGCCCTCGAACCCTTCAACCTCCTCGCACAGACATATGCTCAAACACTTCATAAAGCAAACTGCTTAATGTAGTCTTACATAAAATCCTTCATAAGTCAAACCACTCATACTCTTCATTTTCCCATAATACAGTGCCCTCTAACCATCCTATTGCTCTGTAAAACTATATATATATGGTTTAGGTGTGGTTATTGGTAGATTTGTTTTGTTTATTTTATTATGTTTTGCTTATTAGTGATATTTATTTATTTATTTATTTGTTTATTTTTAATTAGTTTGTTTGTTTGTTTGTTTTTTTTTGTTTGTTTGTTTGTTTATTTATTTTTATTTCTTATTTAAATTGTTTTATTTATTTATTTATTTATTTATTTATTTGTTCATTTATAATGATATTTATTTATTTGGTAGATTTGTTTTATTCATAATGTTTTTCCTATTGGTGAAATTTATTCGTATATTTATATTTACAATTTTTATGGTTTTGTTTATTTATTTATTTTATTCATTTATTATAAACAAAGATAATTATATTTATTTATTTGGTAGATTTGTTTTATTTATTTTATTTTATGTTTTGCTTATTGGTGATATTTGTTTATTTATTTATGTGTTTGTTTATTCATTTATTTTTATTTCTTATTTAAATTGTTTTATTTATTTATTAATTTACTTGTTCATTTATTATTATATTTATTTATTTATTTATCTCATTCATTGTTTTTATTTATTGGTTTGTTCATTTATTATAAACAAATATAATTAGATTTGTTTATGTATATATTTATGTGTTTGTTTGTTTATTTGTTCATTTATTATATATATATATATATATATATATATATACATACATGTGTATATTATTATATGTGTGTATTTATTTATATATTTGTTTGTTTTTTTATTTTATTTATTAATATAATTAGATTTATTAATTTTATTTATTTAGATTAAATAAACTGTCATGCAACACGTTTAAAGTAAATTTTAAATGACACTTATAATTTAATAACAACTCTGTTAAAATGTAATCTCTAGCAAATTTGAAAGTGCAAATCTTTCTTGTATATTAGGACATCACTATTTGCACTATTGCTAAATTACAAAAAAGTGTACATTTTTGGAAACTGAAATTTCATCTAAATGCTGAATAAATACGTTTTACATCAATGCACGGTTTATTACAACAGACAAAATATGACTTGATAATATTTCTAGGGTCAAAAAAAAAGCAGATTTCCAAATTAAGCTCTTAGCACAGCACATTACTAATGAATATATTGGAAGGAAATTTATTAAATGTCTTAATGGAACAAAATCTTTGTTGTAGTGATTTTGGCATAAAAGAAAAATTGATGATGTGTTATGTATTTTTGGCTATTCCCACAAATATCTTCATGCAGCTAAAGGTTTTGTGGTCCAGGGCACAATTTGAAAATCTATTTGTTTGATAATAATTATATAATCGATCAAACAGTCATGTTTTGTACATGTTGTCTAGTGTGTGTAAATTGTATTTATTTGCTTTTTAGACAAGCTAGTATTTTAACATTGTCCATTTTTTATTTATCACCCACAACATGAAGCATTCGTTGCAGACAGAATTTAAATATCAGCACATCCATATAGCTCAGTCCGAGATCCTCCTCATTTACAGAGCTCAATCCATTTATACCCTCGCACCTTCAAATCTTTTACCCCATAGCCCTGCTGTTCCTCATGGCTTCAAATCCTCATATGTTGGTTTCTTGTTTCATCTCTCATCTCTCCTCTGATGAAAGCAAGCTCTATCTCTTTGGTTCCTTAGCCAGCCGAGACCTGTTGTCAGCGCCTCCTCCACTAAAACGGACCAATCAGAGATGATTACTGCTCTTTCTCTTTCCCCTCCGTCTGAATGCAGCCCAGTATCATGCGTCTTTACCCAGTAGTTATGTGGCATGCAAAAATATCTCTACACTCCACTGCCTCGATACTGATTAAACCTTCTTTACAATAATCCCCTTTTCATATGGGATTGATTAACCTTTCAGTGATATGTTCCACTGCATTTCCCATCTACACTGCCAATAAATGCTTTTCTTACTTAGAGTTTTTGTCTTGTTTCTAATCTAAATAGCTAAAAACTCTTACATCGAGAAGCGTTGTCTTGACAAGCACAACATATTGTCTTGTTTTCAGCATAATATATGTTAAACATATATGTCAGCATAAAATATGTCAAAATTTAGGGAGTTTTTCCTTAAAACAAGCAAAATAATCTTCCTATTGTGTACACTGAAAATATTTTTCTAGTCCAAATATCCAAAAATCATTCAATTAATAAGCATTTTTTTAGACAAGCAAAGTATATTATCGTTCACACCAGACGTGGAAGAAGTGTCAAGCATGAATGACTTATATGTTAAGTAAAAGACATACTGTAGACCAGGGGTGTCAAAACTTTTTTGGCCGAGGGGCAGATGCAAAAAAAAAAAAAACATTGTCCCGGGTTAAATTTTACACACTAAAATTAATCCGGAGTCGCCACAGCGGAATGAACCACCAACTTATCTAGCTTGTTTTTTACGCAGCGGATGTCCTTCCAGCCGCAACCCATCTCTGGGTATTATATATATAAATATTATATGTATATATATATATATATATACATAATATATATATATATATATATATTATTTGCTACTTTGCTTGTCTAGAAAATGCTTGTATATTTAAGAGTTTTTAGATATATTGGGGCTATAAACAAGACAAAAATAATTTAATAAAAGTATTTTTCGCAGTATAAGCAAAATAATATTTTTGTTTTGCTTTGAAATAAGATTGATTTGTACCCTCCATTGGCAGATTACTTAGCTTGTTTTAACTAAAAACTCATCAAGACAATATCTTGTACTTGTCAAGAAAATGCTCTTTTATTTAAGGATTTTTAGATATTTGGACTAGAAACAAGACAAAAACACAAAGTAAGAAAAGCCCTTTTTGCAGTGTACATGTGCCCAAGATGTTAGTCCAAAACGATTTTCAGGACCCATGTTTGATTTACTATTATTGTAGTACATTTTTGGTTCTTTACTAAATAATACATACATTTTTGTTTCTCTTTTATTTGCTCTCGAAGGTCGTGGGTCATGGGCGGCTTCGCTCTGCTGTGTCTTTTGGGCCTGACCTGGTCATTTGGTTTGTTCTTCATCAGCGAGTCCTCCGTGGTCTTAGCATACCTCTTCACCATTTTCAACACTTTTCAAGGCATGTTTATCTTCACCTTCCACTGCCTCCTTCAAAAGAAAGTAAGTGCTTCCCGGAATACATTGTTCTACCAGAGCAGCAGTCGATTTTAACGAGAAGTGCACATTAAAAAGTTCGCTTGAACAAAAAAAAAAAATGTTCCTTTGAACTGCAGGTACGGCGAGAGTACAGCAAATGCCTCCGACACACGTACTGCTGTAGCAGGATCACGACAGAGAGCTCGCACAGCTCCACAAAGACCTCAACAACACGGACAAGCGCTCGCTACTCCTCTGGTACTCAGGTACAAATGCTACTGACCCACTTTCCATTGTTTTTCTCTCAATGGCTTTTAATGCAGCGTTCAGTTATATTATGAGGCACATTTTATACTTTGTGAACACTTCCATCTGCTCTTAGCGTGGAGCACAGTCTTTTCATATATGTTTTTTCCTTTTTTGTTGTTTTGTAAAACCGATTTTAGAGGTTTTATTAAACGTCTTTATGATAGATTGTATTATATTATGGGGAATCGTAGCTATAGTTCTTGTACAATGTAAGGATCTGATATACTATAATATATATTATTTTTAAACTATATTACTGTGTGCTCACAAATTATGTAGTATTTATGGTGAAAACTGTGAGATTTTATTATAATTTTTATAGAAGACTTAATGTCAACATTTAATAAAAAAATTTCCAGAACAAATCAAATTAGCTGGTTAAGAAAGATGTGCATTTATTTTTATGTACAAATATGAGTGTGACGTATGCATTTTCAAGATGATGATAATAATTATGTGTTATCCAGTATAAAATTAAATTAAATAAACAAAAAATTAAATTAAATTAAATTAAATTAAATTAAATTAAATTAAATTAAATTAAATTAAATTAAATTAAATTAAATTAAATTAAATTAAATTAAATTAAATTAAATTAAATTATAAAATCATGCCCTGGGATAAGATGACAACCTCTCTAATAATGTGCAGCGCTTACATTACGCAGCAACTAATTATATGTGTTCTTATCCTTTAAATAGGTGCTTATCATTTTATAATTAGTGTGCTTAGTAATTATATATATATATATATATATATATATAATGCCTTAAATATTTATTTAAACTGTTAATAATTTGAAGTTGGTTTCAGACTTAGTCAGATACACTTTAATTCAGTCAGCCTATAACAGTCTAGCACATGTAACTAATAAACATATTAATAAATAAATGATTAAATAAATGAATAAATAAATAAATACATAATTATTTCAATATGCATTACAATAATTATTAAATATACAAATTACATAAATTATAAATAAAAATGGGCCATTTTTATTTATACATTAAAATAGACATTAGGACATTCTGCATGGAAGTCTTTAAAATGAAAAGTGAGGCTATAAGTGCTATCATTTGTTGGCAGTTTCTTTAACATTTTGTTATAAAAGTATGAATGTCATTGCATCAGATAAATAAGACTGAAGTGTCCGAATGCATACAAAATGCAGTTTAGATCCACTGTACATATCAGAAAAAAATCCAATTTTTTCCCCTAAAAAAAAGATAGTGATCATAGTTTCTTCACCTTACAGAGTCGAATCAGGAGAATGTGGAATGACACAGTCAGAAAACAGTCTGAATCCTCTTTCATCTCAGGAGATATCAACAGCACATCAACCCTCAACCAAGGTCAGTCATACACCCAATATAAATTTCATGAGAAACTTTTTTTTTGTATAGACCAAGAGAGAGAGAGTTATCTGTAACTGGGCCTTCCATGTTTAAATATTTTTCATTGAGTTGATAATATTTTTATTCAAATCACTCATTTTGGTATCTCTGCACTTATGAACTCATACTTTACATTTTTTATCAAAAAAATATATATATATTTTATTATATTGTGGACTCTGGACCACAAAACAGTTCTTATGTTGCACATATATATTTTGAGAGTAATTTAAAATGCACAAAATGACAAATGTTTTATGCCAAAATATCATTAGAATGTAAAGATCTTGTTCCATGATTAAAATCTAATTCCTGATTAGTAATATCCATTGCTAACTTAATTTGGACACCGATAAAGGCACTTTTCTCAACATTTATATTACATTTTGGAACCCTCAGATTCCAGATTTTCATATCATCCTGTCCTAACAAACTGAACATCAGTAAAAAGATTACACTACCTGACAAAAGCCTTGTCATCGATCCTAGTTGTAAGAGCAACAAATTATTACTAGACTTCTAGTGGGTTGATCATTTGGAAAAGTGGCAGAAGGCAGATTTTTCAGATGAATCGTCTGTTGAACTGCATCCCAGTTATCACAAATACAGCAGAAGACCAATTGAAACCAGCATGGACCCAAGATTCTCACAGAAATCAGTCAAGTTTGGTGAAGCAAAAAATCATGGTTTGGGATTACATTCAGTGTAGGCGCTTATGAGAGATCTGCAGAGTGGATGGCAACATCAACAGCCTGAGGTATCAAAACATTTGGGCTGCTCATTACATTACAAACCACAGGATAGGGCAAATTCTTCAGCAGGATAGCACTCCTTCTCATACTTCCGCCTCCACCTCCAAGTTCCTGAAAGCTAAGAAGGTCAGGGTGCTTCAGGATTGGCCAGCCCAGTCACCAGACATGAACCTTATTAAGCATGTCCGGGGTAAGATGAAGGAGGAGGCATTGAAAATGAATCTGAAGAAACTTGATAAACTCAGGAGTCCTGCAAGAACGTTCCATTCCAGATGACTTTATTAATAAGTTGTTTGAGTGATTGCAGAGATGTAAGGATGCAGTCCTCCAAGCTCATGGGGGTCATACACAATATTAATTCCTTTTCCCCTTCACCATGACTTTATAGTCTATACTGTACATTATTTATGTTAAATGACAAGACTTTTGTCTAAGCAAAGTCAGACCTTACTGTCCTAATTGAATAATTAAAAAAGAAGGCATGATTATATTTTATTTTGGTAAAATAAGTGTAATCTAGAGGCCTTTGCCTTTTATATAAGCCCCTTCTGATACCAAATGATCAACTAGAAGTCAAGTTATTATTTGTTGTTCCAAAAAACTTGGATAGGCAACAAGACTTTAGTCAGGCAGTGTACTTATTCAACTTTCAGATAATTTATACACCTAATTTTTCAAACCAATTCAAACTTAAGACTGGTTTTGCGATACAGGGTCACAAATATCAAATGTTTCTTATTAAGTAATTTATCATTAAAATGTATTCACTTAATTCAAATCGTTTTGAACTGCTGTTCATATGTATATGAAAAGAATTATCATTAAAATAAATACATGAATATATTCTAACTGATAAGCATGAATGCTGGAAAACATTGATTGATATTTAATTTAAACTCTTAAAATGTGATTTTTTTTTTTTTTTGTCAACATGAAATAACTTCAGCAATACTTTAACTCACTTGATTTGACATATGTGTCTGAAAGCAATTTAATTAGATGGTCTCAGTTTGGCAGGTGGTTTAAAAGGAGTAAGTAAAAAATAAGAGGGATTGGTGTAATCAGTCAAAAGTTGTTTCAGAGGCGAAGCAAGTTATTACATTTTGATGAAATCTTATGAAGCTTTTTTTCACGCTTTGAAATGACATGAACCAATGATATGTTTATAAAACCTCAGGGATGTGTATTAATATAATAAACAGGGTCATCTTTGATTTCATGTTTGCTTTATAAGAAAATGAAAAAGCCTAATGTCAATTTAAAGAGACAAGAAGTTAGACAAACCCCTTTTGGGCCTATTTTACACAGCTACAGTAGTGAGTCAGTAGAAAATATGCCCTCGGTCAGCTATTTCAAGGATTTAGAAAAAGGAAAAAAAAAAACTGTCATTTATTATTTAGCCAGGGCTGAAATGCATGTGATGAGAAGATGATGTTCAACTCTAGCTGACCTGCGGTAAGGTTGTATTATTCAGAGCCGTTTGCTTTGGCTTGCTCTAAAACACTCAGCATGCTTTTAATGCTTGCGTTCAAGCGCACAACACAAAGGTGAAAAAAATACACTGGCATTTGTTTTCTTGTTTTACAATTCTTTGTTTAGAAGCAAAACTAAACAATGGGTTTTATTTGCAATATTAATAGCACACCACTGAGAAAAAAAATATATATATATATACAGTTGAAAACTATTAGCCCTCCTGTGAAAATGGAAATTCTTTTTAACATATTTCTCAAGTGCTGTTTAACAGGGAGATTTTTTTCAATACATTTTTAAACTGGATAGTTTAAAAATAATTTTAAGTACTAATTTATTTTTTTATTTTCCATTATAAAAGTGGATTTTTTGCTAGTTATTTTGTTAGATACTAGTATTCAGCTTAAAGTGTAATGTAAAAGCAATATTTCTTAAAGGGGGTAATAATATTGACCTTAAAAAATGTTGTAAAAATTATAAAACTCACCTAATTTCACAATAATTTATACAATATTTTTGTTTCTGCTGGAAAAACTCCTTTTGCTTTAAGTTTGTCTGGAATAAATACAGTTTTAGATTGTTTACAACAATTTCTATGGTAAGCTTGATTATTTGATATAATTTTATTATTAAACATCACTTGAAAAATATATTTTAAAATAATAGAAATGTCACAGGAGCGCTAATAATTTAGCCTTTAACTGTATATGGATAAAACAAAATAGCACTATTAGATTATAGACCCTTTTCACAATTCAGGGTTTCTCAGTAGCGGAAGGCGTCATGGTTGAGTAAACTTAGAGCACAGTGAATGGGAGAGTACAACAAGTATTTTTTTACAATCCTATTGGCTGAAATATTGAATAAAATAAGTATAAAAAATTGAAATATGAATATATATTTTATATGAAATAATAAAATAAAAACTTCACAGTGGTGTTATCAAGAAAAAAGGGGAAAAAATGTGTGAGACTGATGACAGCAGCCAGAAGAGAGAATAACGTCAAATTTACTCGCAGCCCCATAGACGCTGCATTAGAAACACCTCGCATAAGTGGTAATTCATTTTTTGTAATTTGACGTAAAGATGATGTAATACATTTATAAATGCATATATGTTTTTTTTATATCTAAATATTAAAAACTTTCAAGGATTTAAGATCATGATAAAATTAAATGAGTCATAACAGAGTCTTGTGAAAAGGGTCCATTTTAGCACAGACCTCAAAATAGTAAGAAGCTGTGCCCAGTGAAGTTGTTCGATTTTTGTCAATTCCCTTTAGAATAATTAACATAATAATTAGTGTACAATTGCAATTAAAATACTACTCCAGTGTTTCAGGTTTAATTTAGTGTGTTGCTTGTTTCTCTTATTACTCTTATGAAATTTATTAGCAGTATCTGGGAGAATTTGTCTACATTAAAAATTTCAGTATAGTTTAATTCATCTTACCTTTGACAAATACTGTTAAAGACATAGTTCACCTAAACACAATAATTGTGTCATTATTTACTTCCTTCAAACCTTTATGACTTTTTTCTTTAAAACGTGAAAGAAGATATTTTGAAGAAAGCTGGAAACCTGTAACCATTGACTTCCATTGTATTTTATTTTCCTACTATGCAAGTCAATGGTTACAGGTTTTCGGCTTTCTTCAAAATATCTTCTTTATTAAAAAAAAAACACTTGAGGGTGAGTAAATAATAAGTACATTTTCATCTGTGGGTGAACTATCCCTTCAACATATACAATTTCTTGATGTGCATTTCTGTTTATTTAATAATAAAAATCAAAGTCGCACTGAAATAGCACAAGTGTTGAGCTACAGTAGATGATGCAAACAAACAAATAAATAAATGAAAATCCACAGTATGAAACATCCATTTATTTAATCAGTTTTTTAAAAAGGCAATTCACCCCAAACTGAAAATTCTACCATCATTTACTCATCATTCAAAAGAATTTCTTTCTTCTGGTGGACACAAAAGAAAATATTTTAAAAAATGCTGAAAACCTGTAACCATTGTCATCCATAGCATTTGTTTTTCCTACTTTGGAAGTCAATGGTTGCATGTTTCTAACATTTTTCAAATATATTTTTTTCTGTGTTCAACAGGAAAAACAAAACACAAAACCATCTCAGAACCACTTGAGGGTGAGTAAATAGCGAGTCAATTTTCATTTTTGGGTGAACTACCCCTTTAAGCATTTTAATTAGGTGTCTTAGAGGTCGTAATTATATTTTCCTCTTGTTTTGTTTTGTTGCTTCAGGAATGACGGGCAATTATCTTCTTACTAACCCTCTTCTGAGACCACAAGGCACTAATAACCCCTACAACACCTTACTGGCTGAAACTATCGTATGTAACACACCAACGGTGCCAGTCTTTCACTCTCCAGGTGTGACTACTAATCCACTACACTCCTTTTTTACCCTTCTGAGCATGTGATACTATGCAGTATGATGGTTATTACCAGAGCACTGTGTAGTATCAGCCATTCTATGCTGAAAAATCACCCAGATACGTTTAAAATAATGAGTTTTGCTGCTTGTTCAAACTACTTTGTTTTTTAAATGAACTGAATCAACACAATTCTAGAGTTTTTTTTTTTTGTTTTTTTTTTTTGCTGTTCTTACTTTTTACTTCTAAGTTTTTGCTTGTTTCTAGTCTAAATATCAAAAAAAAAATCTTAAATTAAGAAGCATTTTCTAGACAAGTAAAAACAAGAAGCATTTTCTTGTTTAAGAAATAACATGTCAAAATAAAGTGAGTTTTTTTCTTAAAGCAAGCAAAATCATCTTGTTTTTCCTTCTGGCATAAGATTAATTGGTGGCACTTAATAATAACTACACACTCTGAACCATTTATTAAGCATTCGCATATAGTTATTTCACTATTTGTTTATCATTAACTCTACATTAATAAGTGTTAGTAAGCATTTTACAACTGCAGCTACAGATGCTGTATTGTTGACTTATAAGCACATTTAAAATGTGCCTAATAATCGTACTTTCATAATTTGTGACTGATTGATTTTTCATGACTATCTGAAGTATTGCATTATTTACAAACCATTTGTATTTAAGAGTAGTTGGTTTTTAGGATCATTCAGAATGAGTTAGTAACTGATTAATTAACTATTGAATACATCTTATTATTTAGTCATATATTAATAGTTAATTTGGATGTTAATAAATGCTTTATTAACATAACTTCATGCAATTTTGTGACCAAATCTAAAGTGAGGACTTTATGCTTTATAATTCATTTATAAATGAACAATAATGAACAATAATCTTTCAAATCTTATCTAAAAAATAAAATTACTGTACAGTTTTAACATTGCTGAATAACAAGAGTGTTAAAATATAATAAAACTTGGATAAATCAACAACAATATAATCATTTAACAACACTTTATGACACAACATTTTAATGTTATTTAGCCATATTTAAACGCCATATAACCGATGTTTAGATGTTTAAAAGTTAAGATTGCAAAGATTTATTTTTCATTTGATACAGTTTTATTTGTGTATGTTTAAATGAATAGAAACGAATAAAGTCATTTAATTTCTTTTTTCATATTTAGAATATAACTGAGGCTTTAATTGTCATTTCTAAGAGATTTATAAAGCACAATTAGTCCTCACTTTAGATTTGCTCACAAAACTGGATAAGGTCGAGTTATTAAAACATTTATCAACACACAAATTAACTATTAATATACACTTACATTTTTGTCAAACTTCTTAAGTTCAAACTACTAATTCAAAATGAATTGAAACAACACCATTCT